GCGGAGACGACCGGAGGCCCGGGAGCGGATCCGCGGGACCCGACGCCCGCCACCGAGACGCGGCCTGACGTGTCCCGCCCGCTCCCGCGCCGCCGGGAAGTTAGCCTCCCCCCCCCTCACCCCCCATCCCGGGCAGAAAGCGCGCCTACTTGCACACAATATGTGGAAGGAAGGTTCTGGTAATTACTTAGTTGAGGGGGGGGGGGTAGTAACTGGGGTCTGGTCCGCCGGAGCCTTTTTAAAGCACTCTTCGAGCCACTTCCGGCTCCTCGGGACTGGATTTTTCTTTTCCTCCCTAAATCAAAGCCGCTTTCGGGAACGATCGCGTTCACGTGCTCCGGGAAGGGACTTCACCCTTCCTCTGGGCGGGATTTTGGGTGTCAGCCTGCCAGTCCAGCCGCCTCGCTCCTCAAAATGGCCTCGGGCTCTTGATGCTCGTGGTTTCCATTTGAGTCTGCCTCCGGGTTCACAATCGTGAAGTGCTCAGCCCTCTCTGTGCTCTGGAGGCGCGGACTGCGGGACCCCCACCCCCACCCCCACCCCGGACGGACTACTGTAAGGGGCGGGGGTGCACGGACTCCAGGAAACTCAAGTTTGAACTTTTGTCTTTTTACGTAGTCAGTAGATGTGTTCGTAATTTTGAAATGATAGGGACCTGTTTGTAAATTAAAATTAAACACTTTCCTTATGACACTGCATTTTATGCTAGGCATTTTAAACTAGTATTAAGCAAATGGTACTAAGAAACCATTTTTATTATATTAGAAGTCTTCTTTTCCCTTCAGTTAATTGAAGCACTAGTTTTCCCTTCAGTTAATTCAAGCATTACTGAGTCAAAATTCATTTTCCAAAATCTGCAGTGATGTAACATCACCCTTTTCTAATGGGTAACACATTAGAGAAATGTACCTGTGCTTGACTAGTCAGTCTTGGTAGATTCATTTTGTGCCACACTGTAGATACAGGAAACTACATGTATGAGTTATTTGTAGGATTCTATGATACTGTGAAGGAACCAAATACAAATGAACAAAAGTACTGGATTACTTTATTAGAAAGTAAAGAAAATACATTGATTCATCCTCTTACACTGTAAACATTTGTGATGTTTTGGGTCAGGCACTGTACTGGGTACCAGGGAAGTAAGAGTGTCAACTTGCTATGGTAGTGACAGTTGTGCACAGTTGTGCAAGCAGAATGAGAGAGATTGGCTAATAGAGAAAATAATGTACAAACACTTGAGGATTGTTGGAATGACCAGAACCTATGAGTGGAGTTACTGGAGCAAAGCGGTGAATGGGGAAGAGGAGAAAGGGAAATGAAGTGAGAAAAGGTACAGCTGGGTCTAAATACTAAAAAACTTGAGTTGCTAGAAAGGCTCGATTGTGATAATAGACAACCCACTTATATTTGTAGTGTTTATCTACAGTAACCACCTTAAAGGTACTCATCATTGGTCAAATTGAATTGTAAGTGAAAGATTCACATATACAGATAGAATTAAATATTCTTGGAAGATATTTGATAAAGTTTTACATTGGAAATAACTATGGAAACCAGGCACTGGTGGCTCACTCCTGTAATCCTAGTAGCTATTCAAGAGGCTGAAATCCAAGGATTGCCCTTCAAATCCTGCCCGGGAAGGAAAGTCTGCAAGACTCTTTCCCCCCAGTAAACCACCAGAAAACCGGAAGTGGCTCTGTGACTCAAGTGGTTAAACCTTGAGCTGAAGAGCTGAGGGCCAGCACTGAGGCCCAGAGTTCAAGCCGAGTGACCGACTTAAAAAAGAAGGAAAGTTAACTATGGAATTCATATACAAATTCAAGTCCTAAAAGACTCTCTGGTTTTTTGGTACTCTGGCCTTAAGTACTTTTCAAAAACATCAGTGCTGCTTAATTCTGGGCAGGGCATTTAAGTTAATTTTGGACTACCATTTAAGTAGTCCAATAGATATTTGAGACCTAAGGGTAGAAAAGCAGTGTTTTGGGGTATTAGTACACCTCTCAGAAAAGAAGGTCGAAATAGACACTCAAGGATATAAATAGACGATTAATTGAGAAAGCCCTTGAATATATGCTTACCCTGCCCAGTTTCCTTGTTAATAGTAAAACGCGAGGCAATTGGGTTAGTTCACATCAGGATCCCCTAGAGGGAATTTCAGTAACCAAAGGTTTGATTTTTTTTTTTTAATTTGGGTAACTTTCCACTAATTGTACCCTACTTAAAGCTGGGATTGGTTTGTTTCTTTTTGCTTGGAGGAACCTAGGGGGTTTTAACCCAGGGCTTTGGCACTGTACACTTAAGCCACACCCCCAACCCTGAGGCTTTGTTCTCCAGTGCAAGGGATTACTTTCTAGTTGCCCAGATTTCTGCTAGTATCTTCAGGACATTACTTACAGAATTGCAACTAAGCCTTTTTGTTTGTGTGTGGGTCAGTTGTGGAGCTTGAACTGTGGGCCTGGGCACTGTCCCTCAGCTCTTCAGCTCAAAGCTAGCACTCTACCACTTGAGCCACAGTGCCATTTTTGGTTTTCTGAGTGTTTTATTAGAGATGAGACTCATGGACTTTCTTGCCTGGGCCAGCTTTTGAACTGCCATCCTCAGATCTTACCATCTGAGTAGCCAAAATTACAGGCGAGGCAAGACCCACCAGTGCCCAGCTTAAGCTGTATCTTAACATTTTAAAAAATAATTTGTTTTGAAGTAATTTTAGAATACATTTTCTTTTTGTTTGTCTTGGCTTTAACTCAAGACCTGGGGGCTGTCTCTGAGCTTGTATCTCCAATAAACCACTCAGAAAACTGGATGTGGCACTGTGGCTCAAGTGGTAGACTGTTAGCCTTAAGCTGAAGAGGTGAGGGACAGCCCCCAGGCCCAGAGTACAAGCCCATGACTGACAAAAAAAATGCCAATTTGAACTGACCTCATTTCAAGTATTCTAACTACATGTGAGTAGAATGTTGGAAAATCTTTTGAAGAGTCATGGGAGAAGACAGTGGAGAAGATAGGATTGGGATTTAGTTTCCTCAAAACTAGCTGCTCTTCTAAAGATTCTTAGCAGGTTCCTTCGCCCCCCTCTCCCCACCCCCTTTGCCTAGAATTCATTTTGATAAGTATTATTTTATATGATCAGAGGCATTACACCCTTGTGTGTTTTTTGATGAGGGGTTTAATTCCCAGTCACAGTAATTAATTACTTTAAGTATTAGTGGTCATAAAAATTAAGTTGTAGTTTCAGTGAGCGTTATTTAGCATATGTACATATTAGGTAAAAAATGAGAATTTTGTATCAACAAGTATATAGAAGTTTGATTTATTTTTAATGATACTATACTTTTTTCCCCAAGATTGCTGCAAAAATTGGGGGTGATGCTGGTACATCATTAAATTCAAATGACTATGGCTATGGAGGACAAAAAAGACCTTTAGAAGATGGAGGTAAGTTATAGACATATTTAGTTGAAATATTTTTAGTGTATTCAGTTGGGCATTACTTTTACTATAAGATACCTAAAATTGTAAGGTTTATATTAACCTCAAAAAGAAAAGAGAAAACTGGGAGACCTAGACAAGGTAGGTACAATTTAATTTGAATGAGCAATCAAGTTTTATCTAAATAGCTATTAATTTTACCTCTCTTGGGATTGTAACAGTTTGACAGGTTGCACAGACTGATTATTCAATACTACTGAAAACAAATTTTAAGTGGTTTAGGAAACACTTCACTGGTTTTGCACATACCTGAATGGATATGTGCTATGCTTTCATTATCTTGCCATTTCAGATTTCAGTTAATATAGAAAGGATAAAGTGCTAGTCTGCTAGTGTATGCTATTTCTTTGTCTTGTTTCTTTTAGAGCTTTGTTTTGTTTTCAAGTGTAACTTGATGTGGACTAAAACATTGGATTTATAGTGCTTTGTATTTGAAAAAGCATTGGTTGAAGTTTCTCAAGTTACAAATATGCATTTTTTTATTTTAGGTGGGTTTTTTTTTGGTAAGTGTCTTTCATATTTATAGTGAGGTTTTTAATAAAATGAGCTAATGATGCTTCAGATGTTGTATGTAATGTATTCTTTTTATTTTATGTGTAGATGGCTCTTGGACAAGTCCGAGCAGTACAACACACTGGGAGGGAATGCCCTCTCCTTTTAAAGGCAGGAATTTTTATTTATTACCTGTGTTTAATATGTAAACATGAAATAAACCAGTGAATTCTTAAAAGGACACAATGATCTTTTTGGATTATGTGTCTGGATTTTTACTGCATAACAATTGTGTATTTGCCATTTACGTTTGCGGTGGGGAGGAGAATAATAGTACTTTCCAGGTATAGTCTATTGAAAGTGGTGCGTGGTAGTCATCTGTAGTGGATTTATATATGAAGGTAGGTCATACAGTTTGCCTTTGAATTCTTCTAAAGTTGAATGTAGTGAAATGTAATAGAACAGTTTCGATTCAGACTTCCTTATAATTTTTTTTTCTTTTTTGGGGGGTAGTTTTATGTTCATAGTCACATGTAATCAACTTTTTTGGCGCCAGGGGGGCTTTGAACTCTTGGCCTGGGCACTGTCCCTGAGTTCTTCAGCTCGAGGTGAACACTCTACCACTTGATGCAGAGTTTCACGGACCTTCCTGCCCAGGCTAGCTTTGAACCAAAATCCTATGATCTCAGCTTTCTGAGTAGCTAGGTTTACAGGTGTGAGCTACCACTGCCCAGATTGTAATCAACTTGTAACGTATGAGATTTACACAATTTGGTCTTCTTCTCCCCCACCCCAATCTTGAGTACCTACAATAGAAGCATCATTAGCCTTTAGCAAGTGATATTTTGCTAGTAATGGAGCTAAATACTTTGTATCATTCTAAAGTGCTTAACAAACATGGTCAATAATTTAACAAAAATCAAAACTTAAATGTCTGTGCATCTCTTAACTTGGATAGAATGAATGGGTTGAATTTTGGCAATTTTTTTTTAGTTCAAGTAATAAGCCATTCTGTTGCATATTTTAATGTTTATAATGATATTTTTGCTTGAGGGAGGAAGCCTTATAGTTAACTGCAAAAGAAAATTAAAAGTTGCTTAATTTTGCAGATCAACCAGATGCTAAGAAAGTTGCCCCTCAAAATGACTGTAAGTATTATTTTAAACTGTTGTTGTATTCCTATTTTTGGTGGACAGTTTAGTTGATAGATGTTATAAATTTATACCTTTCATAATAAATAATGCATTCATCTCTTTAAAAAATTATTTATGTCTACATATACATTGTAAACCTTGATTCCTGAGTTACTATACATTTTATTTAGGTACTCTTAATTTTTAGTCTACGCTTGTACTACCTAAAGAAAGCGTTTTATACCATTGCAATACATTTGCCCTTTCACTGACTTTCTTGTTATTGTCAGTAATGATTTGAATAGTCTGTATTAAATTTCATTCTCTGATTGTGTTGTCTGGATTAGGGAAAGATATTTAGACAGTTTGATGTGGTTGTGTTTAATTAATATTTTGGATTCTTGTTTTAATTTTTTGGTAGCTTTTGGAACACAGATGCCACCAATGCATCAACAGCAAAGGTACAGTCAAATGCTTTTTTAATGTTTTGTGGGGTTTTTTTGCAAGCCTTAATTGAACTGTATATATTAACTAAGTGTGTAGTGATTATAGGCATGTCTGCATGTTTTTATATATGGGGTTTCACCTAAAAAAATAAGGATATTTGCCAGGTGCCAGTGGTTCACATTTGTAATCCTAGCTGTTCGGAGGCTAAGATCTGAGGGTTGTAGTTCAAAGCCAGCCCATCCAGGAAAGTACTTGAGACTACTTAACCATCAAAAAACCAGAAGTGAAGCTATGTCTCAAGTGGTAGAGTGCTAACCTTGAGCACAAAAGTTCAGGAACAGCACCCAGGCCAAGTTCAAGCCCCAGAACTGGCACCAAAAAAAGGAAATTTAAGGTACTCTTAAATTTGGAAAAATAAGTAGATTAGCCATGTTTTAGAGGAAATAAGGTGAATTATAATAACTTAAAGTGGCATGTTTTGAACTCTTAACTCCTTTGCTTCATGTCTTGAAACTGTTCCGTTTGTCTATTCAGTTGATATGTGTTGTGCCTTATTTACAAATTTTTTTGGTGTTTGTCCTGGGGCCTTTAACTCAGGGCCCTGGGTGCTGTCTTGAGCTTTTCTGCTCAAAGCTAGCACTACCACTTGAGCCACAGCTCTACTTCCTGCTTTTTGTTAATTATTTGGATATGAGTCTCATGGACTTTGCTACTCAGGCTGACTTCAAATCACAATCCTCAGGTCTCAACTTCCTGAGTAGCTAGGTATAAGCTACCAACCAGTGCCTTAGCTTAACTAGGTATGAGGACATACTTTGGTCATGAGTATGTGCCTAGAGCTTTAGTTTACCCTATTAGGACATTAAACTTGCATTTATTTATAAAAACATACACATATGTACCATATCTTTTTAAGAAAAAGATGTTTCTGTAATTTCTTAGCAGATCTGTAATGACAGAAGAATACAAAGTTCCAGATGGAATGGTTGGATTTAGTAAGTGACCTAATTTTAAATTTTAAAAGACATAAAGCATACTTGTAAGCTTTCAGTAAATAATTTTCTTCTTCTTTTTTAACTAGTAATTGGCAGAGGAGGTGAACAGATCTCACGCATACAGCAAGAATCTGGATGCAAAATACAGATAGCTCCTGGTAACACTTCTTGGGCGTCTCCCTTCCTTTATTTTGTTTTGTAGTGTTAAGAGCTCAAACCCAGTCTTGTGTATAAAGGCATACTCTGCTAAGATACACCCTTATACTTCTCTTGATGTTTTCAGTGATTAGAAAACTTGCTTGTTTTTATTCCTACTGATGATATACTGTGGGTTAATTTTTTTCTTGGCCTGAAATTTTCTTTTTAATTGCAGACAGTGGTGGCCTACCAGAAAGGTCTTGTATGTTAACTGGAACACCTGAATCTGTCCAGTAAGTATGAAAATGTTAAAAGTTTAAAAGTTCAAATTTATAAGTATAAAAACAATATAAAACTTTTGAACATTGTCCTGTGTGTTCTTTTTATTGATACATTGCCTCCTTTTATTCAAGACCAGCTCTTTACTATTTGAATAGAATAATATCCTGTAATTAAGCTAACTTTATCCTGCATTGCTAGTTTTTTTTCTTTTTTGGGGGGGGGTGTCCGGTCATGGGGCCTGAACTCTTGCCTTGGGTGCTGTCCCTCAGCTCTTCAGCACAAGGCTAGCACTCTACCACTTGAGCCACAGCGCCACTTCCCGCGTTTTTTTTTTCCTGCTTATGTGGTGCTGAGGAATTGAACCCAGGGCCTTAAGCATGCAAGGCGAGCTTTCTACCACTGAGCCAACTTCCCAGCCCTGCATTGCTAGTTTTCTTTTCTAGTAGCAAAACAAAAAATCATCTTGAATTCTAAAATCTGTTTGCCAAAAAAAAATTCTTAAGAGAGGTTTGTATTTACCAAACTATCTGCCTGTTTTTTGTTTTTGTTTTTTTGTCTTAAACTCTCACCAATCAAGTGTTTATTCTAATCATTCCATTGAAATTTCTAAGGTCCCAGACTTCAAGCCACACCTTTCATTTACTATCGGCATTGACCCTCGGGACAGGCCATTCTTAATAATTGGATAAGGGGCACCTACGTTTTGGCTGCTCTTAGCTGCCATTTAGTAAGCAGATTTATATACTATAAGTTTTGCTTTTATTTTACTTTTTATTTATGTTCTGCTGGTCCTGGGGCTTAAACTCAGGGCCTAAGTACTACCTTAAACCTCTTTGTGCTCAAGGGTTTCACTGTACTACTTGAGTCCGTAGATCCCGGTCTGGCTTTTTCTACTTTTTTTTTTTACAGACTTTTCTGCCCTAGCTGGTTTCAAACCATAGTCCTCAGATCTTAGCCTCCTGAGTAGCTAGGTTTAGGTTTATTGGCATGAGCCTCAGGTACCTGCCTGTTTGCTCTTAAATTTTTTATCTTGAATTTTTTCCATAAATTACAAACTTACATGTTTGGTGATTGCCTAGTATCACCAAACTATATTTTTAATGTGTGGGGAAGGAGGTATTTTGTTGAGGATCAACAAGAGTGCATTCTACCACTGAGTTCTAGTCCCAGTCTCGGATAACATTAAAAACAGAATTCTTGCCAGATACCAGTGGCTCATAATCTATAGTCCTAGCTACTCAGGAGGCTGAGATTTGAGGATTGTGGTTCAAAATCAACTTGGGCAAGAAAGCCTGTGAGACTCTAAACTACCAAAAACCTGGAAGTATAGCAGTGGCTCAAGTGACAAAGCACTAGCCTGGAGCAGAGGAAGCTCGGGGACAGCACTCAGGCTGAGTTCAAGTCCCAGGACCAAATAAGTTTCTTCCTCATCTCCAACTTTTATTCATGTTGTCTTATAACCTTTATTTTGCCTTGAATTTTTTTCTATAACTTAGTGAATTATACATTGTTTTTAGAAATATGCTGTTACTTGTTTAATAAAGTGAAGCCAAAACATTAACCAAAATTGTAGTTTAAAACATAAATAGTCCTTGGTGGGGAGGTAATTCTATGTCTCTTGCACACTTTTAGACATGTCAAAAATTGTATTCCTAGAAAAACTCATCTCAAAGAATGAATATGGTATACTTTATTCTTGAAATTTTAACTTATTACTAGGTCAGCAAAACGATTATTGGACCAGATTGTTGAGAAAGGAAGACCAGCCCCTGGCTTTCATCATGGTGATGGACCTGGAAATGCAGTTCAAGAAATCATGATTCCAGCTAGCAAGGCAGGATTAGTTATTGGAAAAGGGGGAGAGACTATTAAACAACTTCAGGTATTGTTATATTGTGAGGTGGTTTATTTTTCCTATATTTTGAAATCAGTTTTCATCTTTCTTCTTGGTAATACTCGTGATTTTTATGATTTTTTAAGGAACGGGCTGGAGTTAAAATGGTTATGATTCAGGATGGACCTCAGAACACTGGTGCTGACAAACCGCTTAGGATTACAGGCGACCCATATAAAGTTCAAGTAAACTTCACTTTGTCCTTTATAAAGAGATTGGGAGGGTTTGGGCAAAATGTGAACAAAATGGAATATTTTCATACTTTTTTTTTTTTTTTTAACTGGGTAACTCTTTGTAATTTAGCAAGCCAAGGAAATGGTGTTAGAGTTAATTCGTGATCAAGGTGGTTTCAGAGAAGTTCGGAATGAGTACGGGTCAAGAATTGGAGGGAATGAAGGGATAGATGTAAGTAAAAATACCTAGCTGCCATCCTTTTATGTTATTCTAAATAAAACTGTTTTCTTGTTTTGAATAGATGGCCCCTCTCAAATTGTATCCCTTTTTCTTCCTACTTTAATAGGTTTTGTCTCTTACTGACACATGGCATGCATAAAGCTGTTTATACTTTTATGACTTAATGTGGTTAAATTTTCAGGAAAGGGCTTTGGTAATACTTTTACTCTAATTTTCATCAGGTCCCCATTCCAAGGTTTGCTGTTGGCATTGTAATTGGAAGAAATGGAGAGATGATCAAAAAAATACAAAATGATGCTGGTGTTCGAATTCAGTTTAAACCAGGTTAGCATATATAGTTAGTTAATCTTCTAAGTTTTGATAGCCATTAGTTTTGATACTCGTATACTTCTATTCAATTAAATCAATTCATGTCCTTGTTTTAAAGATGATGGAACAACACCTGATAGAATAGCACAAATTACAGGACCTCCAGACCGTTGCCAGCATGCTGCAGAAATTATTACAGACCTTCTTCGAAGTGTTCAGGTTTGATTTTTTTTTTTTGTTTTTCCTATTGGTATTTTTAATCAAATCTGAAAGTACAGCTTCCTTATTTTTATATTAAAGTATGCTTGATAAGTGCTTTATTATTCCTAGACAGTTTAAATTTCTATATAAGTACTTTCACTTCAGTAATTTTTATAAATGAAACTATTGTTGGGCATTGGTACCTGTACTTAGTAGACTGAGATCTGAGGACCACAGTTCAAGCCATCCCAGGCAGAAAAGTCTATGTGACTATTCTCTGCAATTAACCAGCAAAAGCCAGAACTGGAGGTATTGGTCAAGTGCTGAACAAAAGTGCTAGCTTTTACAAAAACTCTAGAGAATAGTACAGAGCCCCAAATTTAAGACCCGTGTAAGAACAAAACAAAATGGAAATCTTCACATGATTATTTTGGTCAAAGAATTTGTATCTAAATTTCTGACTCAGTGATATGAGGATTAGTGGTGGGGACCTAAATTATTATTATGAAAATAATAGTTTATACTGTTTGGTGGTTTTGTTTTTTTTTTTCCTCCCCTTTTCCTTCCTAAGGCTGGTAATCCTGGTGGACCTGGACCTGGTGGTCGAGGAAGAGGTAGAGGTCAAGGCAACTGGAATATGGGACCACCTGGTGGACTACAGGAATTTAATTTTATCGTGCCAACTGGAAAAACTGGATTAATAATAGGAAAAGGCAATGTATCTTAAATTCTTAGTTATTTAGCATATTACCTAATGTTTCTAAACACTTTCTGTTGCTATTATAATTCTTTGGAAAGTATTTTTATATTGATATGTAGCAGCTAAAGTAAATGAAGTTTCTGGCTTCTAGAGAAAGGAATCAAGAGTCACTAGTGTAAGGAACTTTTGACTCAATCATGATTTGTGTGGGCTTCAGTGGCTCACACCTATAATTGTAGCTTCTTAGGAGAATGAGGTCTGGAGGATCACAGTTAGAAGCCATCCTGGATAGAAAAATCAATAACACTGCTCAATCAATAGAGTTCAGCTAAGCAAATAAGCCTATTGAGTTCAAGTTCCTGAATTCAAACCCCAGTAACTACTCACTACCTTCTTGACCCTATTGAACAAAAAAACGACTTAAAGTTGGAGAATGAGATGTTGAATATAAACAAAATGGAAAATCCTAATAGATGGGAGGATGGCAAAACTTGATTTAATGGCTCATTCATTTAATTGTGACTGTAGGAGGGGCCAGGTGTTAGGACTTGAACTCAAGGCCTGGGCTTTGTCCTGAATTTTTTTTTTTGCTCAAGGCTAACACTCTACCACTTGAACTAGAGCTCCACTTCCAGCTCTTTGGTTGTTAGTGGGAGATAGAGTCTTATGGACTTTCCTGTCTCCACTAACTTCAAACCAAAATTCTCAGGTCTCAGCTTCCTGAGTAGCTAAAACTTCAGTGTGAGCTGCTGGTTCCCGACAACTATTTTCTTTGGAATAGTTCATATTTAAAACTTCAGGCAAATTATTGTTTTCTGATTTCAGGTGGTGAAACCATAAAAAGTATAAGTCAACAGTCTGGTGCAAGAATAGAACTTCAGAGAAATCCTCCACCTAATGCAGATCCTAATATGAAATTATTCACAATTCGTGGCACTCCACAACAAATAGACTATGCTCGTCAACTCATAGAGGAAAAGATTGGTGTGAGTATGCCTAAAACTCCTGGTTCTTAATGTCCCTGTTCCATAAATAAGGCGTTAATTGAAATTGTACTACATTGCCATGTAAAAATTTGTTTTTTAGCTTTCAGCCAGATTTTATTTATTTTGCGGGGGAGGGTCTGGTCGTGGGGCCTGAACTCTGGGTCTAGGCACTGTCCCTCAGCTCTTCAGCTCAAGGCTACCGCTCTACCACTTGAGCCACAGCGCCACTTCCAGCTTTTTTACTTTTTGCTTATGTGGTGCTGAGGAATCAAACCCAGGGCCTCGTGCATGCAAGGCAAGTGCTCTACCACTGAGCCACCTTCCCAGCCCCATCAGCCAGATTTTATATTAGCATGGTAGGGGAATATGGAAGAGAGAACCATTTCATTTTATCAGTGTAAGAAATGTGAGTTAAAGGCTTAGACTTGCCAAAAATTAGGTGTGTGCATGTGGAGATCGCATGTGGCTTGAACTTGGCCTGGGCGGTGTCCCTGAGCTAGACTTGCACCACAGTGCCACTCCCAGTTTTTGAGTAGTTAATTGGAGTTGAGTCTAATGGGAACTTTTCTGCCCAGGATGGCTTCGAACTGTGATCCTCAGAGCTCAGCCTTCTGAGTAGCTAGGATTACAGCACCCAGATAAAAAGTAGCCTTTATATTTTAAGCTAAGTGAATACACTTAGCAGCTTCTCTTTTTTTAGACTGTGGCATCAGGTGGGTAAGATGAATGAGGCCCACTCAAAACACTAGTAGCTGGTAAGACTTCATTTTTCCTGCTGCCTTTACCCATTCATAAGAGTTACCAGGTTTTTTTAACATTTAAGGATAAGGCAGATTTAGATGACTTCTGTATATTTTTTTTGCGGGGGGAGGGAAGGGTATGGGGGAGGTCCGGTCCATGGGGCCTGAACTCTGGGCCTGGGCGCTGCCCCACAGCTCTTCAGCTCAAGGCTAGCGCTCTACCACTTGAGCCACAGCGCCACTTCCAGCTTTTTTCTTTTTTGCTTATGGGGTGCTGAGGAATCAAACCCAGGGGATCATGCATGCAAGGCAAGCGCTCTACCACTGAGCCACCTTCCCAGCCCTGACCTCTATATTTTAAAAAGAAAAGATTGGTTTGCAGCTAGCCCTTCCTGTAGTTTAATCCTGTAACAATATAAAGGCTCTGTGCTGGGAAGAAGAGCTTAATTGTGCTTTTTACTTCCTGAGTTTAACGTTTCAGTCTGGCCCTTTTACTTTCCTTGAAAATAATACTTTCTGACTGTCCAACTACCCTATCCTGTTTTATCCTCTGGACTTTGTTCTACATTAATCTTTGTTTTCCCCCCAATTTTATTTGTGCGTGTGAGCACACATGTGCATGCTGATCCTAGGGCTTTGAATATCCTGGGTGCTATCCTTTAGCTTTTTTAACTCAAGGCTGGCATACTTCACTTGAGCCACACCTTCCACTTGTAGCTTTTTGGTGGTAATTGGCTAACTTTTCCTGCCTGGGCTGGCTCTCAACTGCCACTCTTGGATCTCAGCCTCCAGCAGATGTAAGCTCTGGGACACTTCATCTTCTACAGTTGCTTACAGTTCTGCAGTTCCTTGCTTCCAGATCCTATAACAAAGCCTAGGACACAGCCATTTCCATATAAGTTTGTTTGAGGTGACCTTATTTTTAAAGCCTTTCCTTTTCAAGAATCCACATTTCTTCCCCTACATTAAACTGCACTCTAAATAATTTTACCTATTTGGGGGTGCTGTGAAGAGATCTTTTGTGAAGAGATCCAGTATTCTGCCTACCAGAAGAAATGAAGGAAATTATTTTCATACTGGAGTAAAGCTACATCATTTACAAAGTTATTAAGAACCTTAATTCCATTGTTAGATTGTTTTAGTTTGTAATAAGCTTAATATCTAATATGCAAAATTGCAATAGAGACAAGTTATTAGACTCCTTAGCTTTTTTTAACATTAGATTATGGACCAAGATTATAATTGCTGAAAAACAAATACTTGTTCAAGTTGTTTACCAAGACTTAGATCATAAATGCCTTAAAAAGATGAAGACTTTCAAAAACTTTTTCTTGTCCACAAGCATTTTTCTTTAACTTTTTCCAGAAACATAGGGAGATACCTAGCAATAAAAATAATCTAATTAGAAGCTGGGAAGGTGGTAAAGTGGTAGAGTGCTTGCCTTGCATGCATGAGGCCTTGGGTTCAATTCCTCAGCACCACATAAGCAGAAAAACCCAGAAGTGGGTATAGTGCTAGCCTTCAGCTGAAGAGCTGAGGGACAGTGCCCAGGCCCACAGTTTAGGCCCCAGGACCGACCAAAAAAAAAAAAAAAAGTAATCTAATTAAGTACACAGTTATGGGTGTTAAGAGCCACCTTAATTTGAGTATATAGATGAGATGTTAGTATTACTTACACATGTGCTAGAGTTGATAGAGGGAATTGTCAATTTATTAAGGTCTTTATACCAGTCTTTGGAGTATCAAAAACCAAATCCAGTGCAGTTACCTTTACAATAGGAATTTAGACTTATGGAAATAACTGACTTGAATTTTGAAAATGAGGCAACCTTTTTGTGTATGTCTGTGTATCCTGGAGTTTGAACTTGGGGCCTGTGTGCTGTCCCTGAGCTTTTCTGCTCAAGGATAGTACACTACCACTTGAGCTACAGCTCTATTTCTGAGGTACTTTGGGTTTTTTTTGTTTGTTTTGTCTGTCATGGGTCTTGAATTCAGGAACTTGGCACTGTCATTCAATGCTTGTGCTCTTATCACTTTGAGCCACAGACACTTCCAGTTTGCTGGTGGTTTTAGCAGGTTTGGAGGTTTAATGGGCTTTGTTTTTTGCCTGCTATTAGGGTTTTAACTTAGGACATTAGGCTTCTTTGGCTGCCACTTTTCTGTCCCCATCTCACTTTAACCACAATCCTTCAGATCTTAGCGTCCTAAATACCTAGTTGTGAGCCATCAGGACCAAGCTAGATTTTGGTTATTAAATGTTATTCAATGTATGCTATCAGATGTTATTGAATGTTCCTTTACATTCTACATTAGTTTTTCGATTGTAAAAGAATCCAGTAAAACACTATTTGTAGCCCAGTGTTGGTAGCCCACACCTGTAATCCTAGCTACTCAGAAGGCTGAGATGTGAGGATTGCAGTTCAAAGCCCGCCTGGGCAGAAAATTCAGACACTCCACTATAAAAAAATAGTGCCAACGCTAGGTGCCATTGGCTCAGACTTTAATCCTAGCTAGCTACTCAGTAGACAGAGATTTTAGGATTATAAACCAGCTCAGACAAAAAAATATCCCCAAGATTACCTCTCCAATCAACCAGAAGAATACTGGCCAAAAAAAAAAAAAAAGTACCTGGCACATATGGCCTTAAAAAGTATTTTAACTTTCTTTTGTTTTTTGTTTGGTAAAAATAGGTCATGAATATTAGAAATAATTAATAGGAGCCTTTTCTTTTTTTGGTCTGTTGTGTTCTTGAACTCTGGGCTTGGGCGCTGTCCCTGTGCTCTTTAGCTCAAGGCAAGCGCTTTATCACTTGAACCACAGCACCACTTTTGGTTTTCTAGTGGTTTATTGGAAATAAGAGTCTCACGGACTTTCCTGCCTGGGCTGGCTTTGGACTGTGATCCTCAAATCTCAACCTCCTGAGTAGCTAGGATTACAGGCGTGAGCCACCAGCACCCAGCATATCTTAATTTTGAAGGGGCCAGCTATTAGTTGGAGCCTTTAAGAGACAAGTAATTGAAAGTGATTTGAATGGTCATCGAGTTTAATTTCATAGTGAAAAGGTTAACAACTAAATATAGTTTAAATATTTCCCAGAAATTGTCATGCTGTTTAGAAAGTTCTGATTGATACAAGGAAAAATGGGATAGTGCCTATTGATCTAAATAAGGTTCAAAAATAGAAAAGTTCTGAAGTAATTTTAGGTAATGATTATTATATTGCAGATGACATGCTCTATAGACAATTTACAAATATAGAAATTAAACATTCTGAGGAATATTACATTGGCCAAATTGCTGTCTGGGAGAGTAGAAATGTAGTTAACAGATAAGGACTTAGTATCTGATAAATTTTCCTTACTAACAATATAAAGCTGGGATTTGTGGCATGAGCTTGTAATCCTATCTCTAGAAACAGATGTCAGATCTCTATTGAAAGTTGGCCCAACAAAAGCAGTCCAGCCGAAGGCCCAGGTAAAAAGTCAGTCTATTCAAAATTAATGTAAACTAAAGGGGTTAGGTGTGTGACTGTATTTAGTGGAACACCAGCTTAGCAATCGCTAGGCTCTGAGTTCAAACCCAGGTGCTACAAAAGAATTGTAAAAGGACAAAAAATAGAAAAAGAGGTTAAAGGTCCAGTCCCTCTTGGCTCACACCTGTAATCCTAACTAGTCATCAGCTGAGATCTGAGTCAGCTCCCACCAGAAAAGTCTTAGCTCTTGTAAACCAGCAAAAAGGCCAGAAGTGGAGGTGTGGTTCAAGTGGTAGAGCACCAGCCTTGAAAGGAACAAAAGTCAATGCAAGGGCCTGAGTTCAAGCCTCAATATTAGCACAAAAAAGGAGAAGCTTTTTGCATTTAGTTACGAATGCAACTGGTTTTTATGAATTTTTAAGGTCTCAATGTAACACATTTTTAATGGATTTTACAATAGTATAAGGAACTCTAAAACTTGTCACTTGATTTTTAAGTAACTTGGCCACACCTTTTCTGACTGTTTTTAATGTCTTTTGGTGTTTGACAGGGCCCAGTAAATCCTTTAGGGCCACCTGTACCCCACGGGCCCCATGGTGTCCCAGGCCCCCATGGGCCTCCTGGGCCACCAGGGCCTGGAGCTCCAATGGGACCATACAACCCTGCACCTTATAATCCAGGACCACCTGGCCCAGCTCCTCAGTAAGTACCGAATTGATTCTAGGCTTTTCCCTAAAGATCCTAGATTTTGGCAAATGGTTATTTATATACATATTTTCTTTACAGTGGTCCTCCAGCCCCGTATGCTCCCCAGGGATGGGGAAATGCATATCCACATTGGCAACAACAGGCTCCTCCTGATCCAGGTAAAGTGTTACTTACATTAGTGCGTTGTCTGTATTAACCCATCATTTCTTGTTGACATCATAAATTTCCTAATGTTGATCCTATTTTTATACAAATTACCTTCACTCTTTAGTTAGTGAAGATGGTTAGCAGAGTGTTAGGCATTACTTTTACCAAGGTATTAAAGACTATGGCCTATGTAGAGCCATTTTTCTGGCTTTTTACTTCTAAATGAACACAATAGTGCTGAAAGTTACAGGAGTAACAGTGTTTTAGGTACCAGTGCTTTTAGATATGTATAGTGTGACTTCCATGAAAGATTACTGTATATTTATAAAATTGCATTTATAAAATATTTATAAAATTAATTAGTTGAGCATTAAGCTCTTAAAGCTTCTGATCTTATCTATACTATAAACTGTGCATTGTAGTACTTCTAATAGGACAATTTTAGTAAAAAGCAGGTCCAAATTTAATAACTGTACTGGATACATTTAATAAAATATTTTCTGCATTCATATTTAGATTTTATGTGTTCTGTGCTTGCATCTCTTCATGACATAGTTTTTATTTCCATCTTGGTCAACAAAGAGGCCTTCTTTGAAACCAGTTAATACAAATTGTTTCAAAATAGGTACCCTAAATTGTGGATTACTTGGTACATTTAGTATGTTAATTTCTGTGTTCTTTTGTGTCAGTCCTGGGACTTGAATTTCAGGGTCTAGGTGCTAAGTTTTTCTGCTCAAGGCTAGCACTCTTACCATTTGAGCCACAGCTCCACTTCTGGCATTTTTGGTGGTTAATTAGAAAGTCTCAGACTCTACTGGCTTGGGCTGACTTTGAACTGTAATCCTCAGATCTCAGCCACCTGAGTCGCTAGGATTAACAGGCAAACTGGCTTAGTATATTTACTTTTAAGAACCAAAGTAATTTATTTAAATGAAGTTGTTCTAAGTGTACATTTGTATTTTTAAATGAGTCATATATCAGATTTAACTGGAATTTTGTTCTTCAGTAATTCATGTTATAAAATAACATGACAATCAGTAAATGACCGCAACTTCTACTTACTCATTGTGCTAGGACATGGGTTTACAAACATGACTTTATGTCCAATAGCAAGTTTTATCCTCCTGTTATATAAATAGTAGTGTAACTGAGTAGGTTATAAGGTAAAGTGAAATATGATGTATAACAATATGAAAATCAATCTTACTAAGAATGGGAAGGATTTTCCTTTTGTAAGATAAGCAAAGGAATGAGAGTCAATAAGTTGAGCAGATTTATATTGGGCAACCTGAATGTCACTATTTGAATGGGTAGCAATTGAAGAAAATATGTATTGTAATGTTTTCCAGTTGGTGTGGTAATAAAGTCATTACTGTAAGACTTGGCCAATGAGTATGGATTCTTCAAGCTTTGCCTTTGGCAGCTAGGCAACTTAACTCAGGTTTATCAAAGTGTTACTGAGTTTTTGGTGTCAGATGTTGCTAAGAATAGAATTGTATATTCTATTGTCAGTAGTATTCACCTGAATCCCAGCACTCCAGGAGGATGGACAGGAGGGTTTTGAACTTCAGGTCAGCCTCAGCAACATAGCAAGACTTTTGCCTTGGAATACAAAATAACAAAAAGAAAATAACTTGTACATATTTATATAGTGATCAAGAATTTAGTTCTTGAATCAAGTAGCTTTAGATTAAGTGTTGAGGAAGTATTTGAACTGCCCTCACTTTGTTTTCTTAGCTACAAAATTAAGTAAATTGATAATGTTGTTAGAAAGTTTTCAGTATATACTAGATAAATGTAGCTATCGGACTGTCTTATGATTTACACATGGATGAGTAATTGCTCTTAATATTTCTTGCTAATGTTTATTCTATTCATGTTGACATACATCTGTCTGTAGTCTCAGCTACTCGTGGGAGGCGCAAGAGGGACGATCATTTGAGCCTAGGAGTTTGAGACCAGCAACAGTGAGATCCCCATCTGAAGGAAATCCTAAATGTTTATTAATATACAGATAATGACACCACTGAGACATGAATGTAGAAAGTAGTAGTATATTGAGCAGTTGAGAAAGGGTTGGAGACTAACCTTAATTTCTTGCTGCCTTAAATTTTCTTTTCCTCAAAATACTTGTCCTTTTCCCAAACTTCAATAGCCTTCATTAAGCTTCTGAAAATTGCTGCTTGTTCAGAATGAGCAGAAACTAGCTCATATAGAAACTAGCTGTGGAAAATACATTCTTTGAGGGAGTACAGACTAATAAAGATATGTACATAGTATTATATAACATTCTTTGTTTATTATAAAGGACAAAAATCAATAAAAAGATTTGTGGTTTCTCACTAAGAGGTCTCAGATTGTAATAAATAACATCAATTGCTCTATGAGGAGTGAATGAAGATGAACCAAGCACAGAAGAAACTGGTTGGACATACCAAAAGCCCCGACATGAGCATGGTGTTTTCGGAAAAGTACACCAATTTGTTCCAGCCCGAACCTGAGTATTGGAGAGATACCAGCTTAAATGGAAAGGATAAACAAGGGAATTCAGTTTATTAACACTGAACATCAGTTACAAATGTTAAGATTTTGTATCTTCAGGGAATACAACATAGGAAAAAAGTTGGTTCTAATTATTTCTACTTTGTTAATCTCTTCCTTCAGCTACCTGCCACAAAGAACTTACTGTACATAGTGAGCTTAGAAAAGGACGGGATGGTTTGAGAAAAAGCATTAGATATTGAGTTAGATGTTCTGTTTGTATTCCAGTTTTGCCACTCACTAGTTTTATAGCCAAGGAAATTATCTGAACCTCAGATTTCTGTCGTCAAGCTGGTGATAACAAGAAAGTCGAAAAACAATGTTTCATTTTAGTGGGCCTGTGTATTTGAGCTTTGGCGGGGCAGGTTAATTTTTACTACAGATAAGGATATAAACCATGAGCTTGTGTTTATTCTAGCTAAAACAGGAACGGATCCAAATTCAGCAGCTTGGGCTGCTTATTATGCTCACTATTACCAACAACAAGCACAGCCACCACCTGCAGCTCCTGCGGGTGCACCAACAACAACCCAAACTAATGGACAAGGTAACTATGGTAACTAGAGATTTATTTACTTTAAACAATATGAATTACATAACTAATGCATGAAATTTTTTGTGTGAGTTTCTAACTTCAGTAAGTTTATAATAGCAATAACCTCTGAATACCCAGATAGGCCTAGCTGTTAGTTTTATTCCTCATTTGTCCTATTACATTATCTCATATATGTCCAAAACTAGATATGATTGCACATTACCTTTGAATACTCTGTATGTTCTTCTCCAACTAAATAACAATCATGAGTCCTCCAAATCAGTTCAGCTTAACCATATCAAATGTCCAGATACACAGTTCTACAAATTTCACCAGTTGTCCCAATATCCCTTTCCTCTGATTCAGGATTCCAACTGGTCACATACTCATTTACATTCATGCTTTAAAATACAGAGTACAGGCATATTAGTTCATTTCTACTTTTTTTATGGAGACAGAGTCCCAACTATGTTGCCCAGGCTGCTTTCAATTATCTGGGCTTGAAAGATCTCTTGCCTCAACTTGAGTAGCTAGAATCACAGCTGTATACCATTGTACTTTTCCTATTGAGCTTTTTCATAATGACCATGACCGAAGTGATGCTTACTTGGCAAGAAAATCTCAAAAATATACCGAACACTAAGGTGTATTGTATGTGAAGTCTTTCATTCCTGGATCATTTCTATGACCATGGTCATTGGTCATGTTGGTTCTTTTCGGGCTTCTGTACCATTTTTCTCTGAAAGTAGTATTGGGGGAAAATTATACTAAGATTAGGCCACTGTCTTTTCATCAAACTTCTACCTAGCAGTCTTTCATAGCACCCTCTGCATTATTAACTATACTATTTCTATTACAGTGATAATCAGTTGGTATTTTATCCTGTTCTTACATCAATATGGATTCCTGTTTTATTTAGTAGGTTATATTTTAACTTCGTTATTTTTCATTAGATTGGCCTAGATTGGACCAGTTGAATGTTTTCAGGGTGATTCCTGTATAAATGCCTGTTATCTGGCTTGATAAGATTTATTTTGTGCCTTCTGGCCTTCCACCTGTGAATCAGCTATTTCTTCAAGGATGCCTGATTTTCTTTTTCAAGAGGATACCACAAAAGTAAAGCAATAACAAAAAGGACAGGAGCTGAAGGCATGGCTTAATTGGTAGACTGCCTAGCATGCATAAGGCCCTACATTTAGTCTCCAATGCTGAGAATGAGAAACATAGCATTTAGAAGCCAAACACCCCGCACACATTATTTAAACCACATAAACATCCAGATCTGAAAGTCTCATGAAACCTTACATTTATGCAATTCCATTTTAACATTTCAAAGTTCTTTTTAGCTTTTTAACTTTTCATATTTATAAATGGTGAAAGCCCTGGTATCCTTTACTTACTGCTCAATGAACCCAATATTGTTTTCCCAGCAAATTTTGTGCCTCCACCATTTTGTCTTTGGTATCAGCAGGGTTACGACCACCACATAAAACTTCCTCAATGCACCATGGTAGGCCACTGCTCACTCCTATACTCAAAGCAAAGTCCAGATTGCTTTTTAAACATTAAAGTGCCAAGTGTCGGTTCCCCTACCTATAAAAGACCTGAGAATCAGGGTTCAAATCCAGCCTGAGCAGACATTCTGACTCCTATCTTCAATTTAACAAGCAAAAAGCAAAATGTGGGAGTCTTGACTCAAGTGGTAGAGTGCCAACCATGAGAGAAAAAGCTGAAAATGCAAGGCCTTGAGTCACAGCTCTAGTATCAGAAAATAGTTTTTTGTTTTTTTGTTTTTTTGTTTTGGCGGTCATGGGGCTTGAGCTCTGGGCCTGGGCGCTATCCCTCAGCTCTTCAGATCAAGGTGAGCACTCTACCGCTTGAGCCTCAGCACCACTTCCCATTTTCTAGTGGTTTATTGGAGATAAGAATCTCACAGATGTTCCTGCCCAGGCTGGCTTTGAACTACAATCCTCAGATCTCAGCCTCCTGAATAGCTAGGATTACAGGCATGAGCCACTGGTGCCCGGCAGAAAATAATTTTTTAAATCTTAATGTTTTGTTTTATTTTGTTAAAAAGGAGATCAGCAGAATCCAGCTCCAGCTGGACAGGTTGATTACACCAAGGCTTGGGAAGAGTACTACAAGAAAATGGGTATGTTATAATTTATATGTAATTAAGCTAATCTCTTAGAATCTCTTGGCAAATATACACTAGCAGTTTTGATAGTAAAAGTTTATTTTACTATCAAAGATGATTTCAGTCCATTTAGAAACTAAATATTAAGTAACTGGACAAAACATTTGTGCCATACGATATGCTCTGTGTATGTGTGTTTGTGTGTAGCATTGGACTTTACAATACTTGATGTAAAAACATATTTACCTGATGGCTTCAGGGTCAATTTTAGTGTTGAACAAAAATTGACTATGTGGTAGCATATTTGCTGCAACATAAATGAGATAAGTGACAACAGGAAGTCCATAGCTTAAAAATTTTCAAGATAGCTAAATGACCACATCAGTGAATCCTTTTCTATTCAAAATAAAGTAGTGGGCTATGAATGTGGTTTACTGGTAGAGTGCATGAAGTCCTGCGTTCAATTCCTCAGTACCTCATTAAACAGAAAAGGTTGGTAGTAGTGCTGTGGCTCAAGTTGTAGAGTGCTAGCCTTGAGCAAAAGGAGCTCAGGGACAGTACCCAGACCCTGAGTTTAGGCCCCAGGACTCGCAAAAAAAAAGGGAAAAAATCTCTCAGACTTTTCTGTGCAGGCTATCTTCCGACCATCATCCTCAGATCTCAGCCTTCTGAGTAGCTAGGATTATTAGCTAGGCAATTAGCCACAGGCACTTGGCTTAAAAAACTTAATTCAGTGACTAATGCACATAATACATTGGTCACAGTATTAGATGCAGACACTGGTAGGAGCCCTGCCCTAGTAGAAGATACAGTTGTCAATCAATGTTGTGCAAATAAGTAACTATAAACTATGTGTAGGAAAGAGAACCAATTTCACTGGCTTTTTGGGGTAAGGGGGGAAGCAGTCCCCTGAACTCAACGCCTGAGAACAACTGTCCCTGAGATTTTGCTCAAGGCCAACACTATCTACTACTTGAGCATGGCCCTACTTCCTGCTTTTTCTGTAATACTATGGTATTGAGGAATCAAACCTAGGGCTTCATGCATGCCAGGCAAGCACTCTTAACACTAAGCCACATTCCTTGCCTCCTACAAAATGGTTAGAACCGAATTTTACTTGTCTGAGGGTTTAGGTCCCAAGCCTGTCTCCCAAAATTATGTTTTTTTGTTTGTTAGTTTGTTTACCAGTCGTGGGGCTTGAACTCTGGGCCTGGATGCTATCCCTGAGCTCTTCGGCTCAAGGCGAGCACTCTCCCACTTGAGCCACAGTGCCACTCTGGTTTTCTGGTGATTTATTAGAGATTAGAGTCTCATGGACATTCCTGGCCTGGGCTGGCTTTGAACCATGATTCTCAGATCTCAGCTTCCTGAGAAGCTAGGATTACAGGCATGAGACACCAGCATCAGGCCAAAAATATGTTTTTTAAGAACTATTTGGAACTTTACGTTTATGGTCAAATGCTTTTTTGATGCTTTTACTTTTACTTAGAAATAACACTTATACCATAGCTGGTTGTCATAAGAAAGCTAACCAAATCCTTCACAGGTATAGAAAATGGAGGATTTTGTCAAACTGTAATGTGCCAGGTTTTCTTATATTACTATTAAATGAGCTTTACCTTAGGGCCTGGGCACTCTCCCTAACATTTTCCCTCAAAGCTCATTTTCTACTACTTGAGCCACACACCTCCATTTCAGGATTTTTTCTGGTTAATTGGGTATGAGAATTTCAATGATTTTCCTGCCCAGGCTGTCTTTGAACCACTGGTACTTAGCTTCCACTGGGCCATTTGGAATTAAAGGCTTGTTTTTCTTAGGGAAAAACATGTCTAACATTTTATATTGATATTTGCCTCTAAAAATGAGTATGTCTTGCAGTGATACTTAGTTTCTTCTGTAAACTTGAAGTAGAATTATTTTTCTCTTAAAAAGTTTTGTTTAGGTAGAGTTCATAAGAAACATTGTTTGCTTTTATTGTCCTAGGTTCTTGAGAATTTTCTAATTATTGAAATTTATGTTCAGCTTTTGCTCAATTTTTGTCTCTTTATAAAATCAAAAATGTTAAGCCAGGGGCTGGGAAGGTGGCTCAGTGGTAGAGCCTTGCATGCATGAGGCCCTGGGTTCATTCCTCAGCACCACATAAGCAAAAAGAAAAAAGCCGGAAGTAGTGCTGTGGTTCAAATGGTAGAACACTAGCCTTGAGCTGAATAGCTGAGGGACAGCGCCCAGGCCCAGAGTTCAGGCCCCACAACAGGACCCTCCCCCCCCCCAAAAAAAAATGTTAAGCCACTGTTTGAGGAGAGTTATTCACAAGAAAGCAGAATTTTGATTGTACATTAAACTATCCCAAATAAAGGGTTTTCATGCATTTTTAAGGTTAATAGTCATAAGTCTTAGTGTTTATTTGTACAGTTGCCTTTATTCTGTGACTAGTTTTTAAATGCGTTAGAAAAAAATCTGAGAAAAATCTGAGACTATCTCCCAATTAGCCAACAAAAATTGAGGCTGCAGGTATGACTGAAGTGGTAGAGTGCCACTTGTGAACAAGTAGGAAGTCCTGAGTTCAAGCCCCAGCCCAAAATAATCCAAAACACCCAACATTTTCAAAATTTGGCACAATTTGAATGTCTGGCTTCCATAAAAATGTTCTATATTTATCATTGAGTTATTTAGCTCCATGCCCATTAAGTGCTCCTAGGTAGTTTTATCTCTTAAACTCACAATTCAGAAAAATCACTTAGATAAAAGATCTGTTCATGAAATCTTAGTTTTTATTTTGTTTTGTTTTTATGCTGGTTCTAGGGCTTGAACTTGGGGTTTGGGCGTTTCCCTTGAACTATTGTACTAGGCTAGGGTCTACCACTTGAGCCACAGCTCTACTTACAGCTCTTTTAGTGGCTAATTGTGGAGATAAGAGTTTCCTGGACTTTCATGCCAGGACTGGCTTTGAAGCTCAATCTTCAGAGATCTCAGTCTCCTGAAATGCTAGGATTTACGGGTATGGGCCACTGGTGCCCAGAGAAAGTGTTTGAGTGATACTGTTGTCATTTTAGCAAAACTATTGTGATGTGAACTCATCAAGCCTTTTTTTATCATGGCTATTAGATGTTTTTGCTTTTTATTTTTATTTATTTTTTGGTCCGGTCGTGGGGCCTGAACTCTGGGCTTGGGCACTGTCCATCAGCTCTTCAGCTCAAGGCTAGCGCTGTACCACTTTGAGCCACAGCGCCATTTCCGGCTTTCTTCTTTCTGCTTATGTGGGACTGAGGAATCGAACCCAAGGTCTTGAGCATGCAAGGCAAGCACTCTACCACTGAGCCACCTTCCCAGCCCTTTGCTTTTTATTTTTATTGAAGACTTAAAGTTTAAAAAGAACACATCAGTCCAAATGGAAGAAGCAAAAATAAAAAATAAGTCATTTCCTCTCTTTTCATACTATCTTTTCTGACTTTACCTGTTGAAGGTTTATATATACTACTTAAAGCAATTTTGAAAGTCATTCAACATAATTTGTTTGGCTCTGGAGTTAAAGCAAGGAATCCTGAATCTTCTAATTTTTACCTCTGCTTTAAGCTTGTGCTTGAAAATTTTTATAATTAGCATAACAGAAGACATATTAATTTTCCTTTCTTTCCCTTCTCTCTAGTTGCAAAGTAGCTTCTAATACTAATAAGTATGTACAGTAAACAAGAACACTGAATGTGGTGGTGCCAACTCTGAAAATACAGAGGCAGGAAGATCATGAGTTTGAGGGTAGCCAATTCTGACCTTCTGCATATCATTATAACCTGTACTTCCAGTGAATATCGTTATATTAAAATTTAGGGGGTTTTTTTTAGGTCAACAAGGGCAGACACAAGATTATTCAAAGGCTTGGGAGGAATATTACAAGAAGCAAGGTATTGTTTTTATTAGAAATGAGATTCTTTTAGGCTTTTAATGGTAGTTACAGCAACAGAGTTCTTTTTTTCTTAAAGGTCAAGCAGTTCCTGCTCCTACTGGTGCTCCACCAGGTGGTCAGCCAGATTATAGTGCAGCCTGGGCAGAGTATTATAGACAGCAAGCAGCCTACTATGCCCAGACAAGTCCCCAGGGAATGCCACAGCATCCTCCAGCACCTCAGGTATAATAAATTTGCTGATTTGATTACTTCATGCTAATCATGTTTTCTGCATGTTTATTGTTTGTCTCTTTGGAAATGCATATGTTTAACTTTTTAGTTTTTATCTGATGAAATATAACTAAAGGAAGCAATTGTGTATATTTGGGTTTTTTGTTGGCTTTTGTTTTTGTTTTTAAATAATGCTTTCTGGCATCTGAATGCTGAATATTTCTACCATGCCTTTGATTTTAAAAATAAATTTTCTTCCCTCCAGGGATTTGCAAATCATGCAAGAAGCCACCACCATTTATATTAACCAGTTTTTCTTTCTTAAAGGATTCACTCCTAAATTAGCTCCATTTAAAGGATTTTCTTTAACTTTTTGTGTATTTCTTATGTATCTCTTCTGCACAGGGCCAATAATAAGAAGTGGACAATACAGTATTTGCTTCATTGTGTGGGGGAAAAAAACCTTTGTTAAATATATGGATGCAGACGACTTGATGAAGATCTTAATTTTGTTTTTGGTTTAAAGTAGTGTTTTTTTTTTTTGAAAATGTACAAAATATCTATCACTACTGATAGGAGGTTAATATTTCTGTGTAGAAATGAAAAATTGGTTTGTTTTTAGTATTTAGTGTAGATGTACACATTCCAGCAAATGTATTTGCAACTATTATGTGGTCAATGCTTTGTGATATAAATGTACTTTTTCAATGTATACTTTCACTTTTAAATGCCTGTTTTGTGCTTTACAATAAATGATATGAAACCTCCTGTGTCGGTAAGTTGGATATATGGGTAAAGGATTTGTAATTGCTTAGCAATGGTAAATTAAGCTACATATACACAAATATATAAGCTTTCCCCATGAATTGCTGAACTTTTAAACACTGGCATGTTTTTCCCCCTTGCAGTATAGTGGTAGATTGGAGAATCTTTTTCCACTTACTTGTATTTGGCTATTTCAGCACAAGTAATCTTGATATCTTCATTTTTTTCCTTTTGTTTAAAAACTGCATGTGTGTACAATGATCTTTTAGCATACTTCCATTGCATTAACAGTGAAATTTCCTTTTATACATGACCACTGTTTCAGACCTGTACTGCTGCTATAACAGTTAACCTTTCTGTTCTTAATTTGGTAATTACTTATTTCCAAGACGGTTTCAGCATAACTAATTTTAAAGAGTTTTCAGATAGTGAATTTGAGTAGTCTACTAAGAACAACTTTTTCCATGTAAACCAACTTTTTGATGTATATAATATTAGTGTGTTTCTTTCTAAATTTAGGTTAGAAAAGTGAATAGTATGCAAAAAAAAGATAGCTATATTGCATCTGCCATTGAAACCATTGGGGTATGGAAACGTTCAAGCTTTTTTTTTTCCTTTTTCTTTTTGCAGTATAGATAAGCTTTGTTTTATAAATGCACAAGTCCAGTCATTGAATCAAATGATTTTTTTTTGTGTACTTGAAATCATTTTATTAATCCTTAACACTCATGCTGAAGTTCTGATATTTTGTTGAAATCCATTGTTTTACTCTGCATATTTGTTGGCTCTTTGCAAATTAATATGTTAGACTACATGCAAATACAGTCTGTCTTGCCATTGTCTGTTGAAGTGCAGGTTTGATCCAGCCAGTATAGAACTAGCTCTGTAGGGGTGAGGAGGACTGTGCTGTGTATCATCCTTGATTGTGTTCCTTCAAGGAGCATTGCACTGTAAGTACATCAGAATGACAAATTGATGAACTGCAACAGTATCTTTTTGTCAATGTTCCACATAATGCAAATGCCATATTTTGTGTGAATATTATGTTGGAATACAGTGCTGATATCTCGGAAAACCATAACTGTTTCTTAACAGAATAATACATAGTTCTGTATTTTTTTTAAGTGAGCTTAATGGGTAAGTATTTTTTTATATGCTTTAGCTATCGCTAAAGAAAACTGATCATTAACAAAGTTGAATAGTATTATTGGTGCTCCTAAAATGCTGTTTTTCAATGTAAAATATGCATATCTTAATATGAAAAACTTGAAATGTATAAGACAGAAGTGGTTTTCTGTTTGCAAATAATATGTTGCAAATAAATAGCAATGTAGCACTTTTAACACCATTTCATAAATATATTGTTACTGGTGGGGAGCACCATTTGTTGTTTTGAGTATACTTTAAAGAAAGAATGTACCAAGACATAAATGTTGAGATTACATATAGGGTGGAAAATAGCAGTACAGTTCATTGTAGATGTTTTGAAATGTTTTTTGACTGTTTTATGTAACGTAGAGTGACTTCCCTTACCCTTACTTAGATCTGGATATGTAGTCCTAGTTTTGAAGTTTAATAGTTAAGGAATTTAGTTAGTTATCTATTATCTTTAAGAGTAGGGTATTGACATGAACAATTTCAGAATTTTGCATGATACTGTTATATAGATGACCTTTTAGGAAAGTGGTGCATTTATTAAGTGAACTGAATAAATAATTCAGTTGGATTCAGTATCATAACACAAATTGGAGGCTGTTGATTTTGATTCATTTAAGGTTTAAAATCTTTATTAATTGCAAACAGTGCAATTATTTATACTTCACAGTGCCTTCCCAGACCTTCCACCTTAGGTTCTGCTGCAAAAAGCAACAGGTAAGCACAACCTAAGGACATATATAAATTAATATTTCAGTACATTAATGTTGTCCCTGTGAGGTTTTTGTGGTTGTGTACTCAAAAGCAATCTGCTACTGCTTCCCTAAAATGTATTTTGTTATTTATGCTACCATCTTAGTGGAAAGTCTGTTAAGTTGTTCAAACAACTGTTTACATTTCTGGGTAATGGTTTTTTGCTTAAAATTTTTTTTATTAAACCAAGAAAATGAGTAGATTGCTACTGTAACTGAACGCTCAATACCCAAATCTTTTTATATTTCTCCCAAAATATAGAAATGTTAACAGTTGAGAAAGGAAATTTACATAGTTTTCAAGATCTAGGAAATCATTGTTAGAAACGTCAACAGCCTTCACAGTCTGTATGATTGATAGGACATTTTCTTTGCCCTCCAAACCTATGGTTTCTTTTTCCTTTTCTTTCTCTTTTTTTCTTTGTTCTTTTTTTTTCTTTTTCTTTTTGAATTAGTTAATTCAGTAAGAGTATTTTGGGTCAGTTTGGTTATGATTTTTTTTCTTAAAACAATTGTTTTCATAAAATTTATACATGCTGAAAAGGAAAAATAAAAGGAATATTGGCAGTATGTTTTGATAAGGCATGTGTATCAGTGAAATGTTAACTGTATAGCAAATAATCTTTCATAATCTGTAGCAATCAGTGTTTTTCTGATTTATATTTTAATAACTGACGCTGCACTTATTTTATGCCAGTTTAAAATGTGTGTGTGTTCTTGTAGATGACTTTAACTGGTACATATTTTGAGTTAAGATGAATGTATTAAAGCAGCGTCATATCAGTTTTGTTTGTTCAGTTTCTAAAATGTGCTGATCCTTTTTAAAAATCCTGCTTATCTTTACAACAAAGAAAAATATTCAAAAATACTGCCTTCATTTTCACACACAGTGCTGAAGATGCTGCAAGCACCAAATCATAGCTCATAAAATCAGGTCCTGAGATAGTTACCCATAAAGAGGAATCCTTTGAGTGTATGCCATTGGTGAGCCGATGAGCATGGACCATAGAAGGGCTCAATGTAGAAGGTAAAATTGGCAAATCATAATTGAGAAATATGAAATGTATTCCCATACATGATATGGTATAGGGTGTATTGTACCTGCTTTTGATCACTTCATTTTAAATTGCTTTTCAGTTGATCCTTAAATGTTCCATGAACTGTTAAGTTATGCACCACATTTATGTCTTATGTGTTTTGATAGCTTAGGTATGTTGTAGTTGATAATATAAAAAAAGCGCTCTTAAGAGCCTGTCAAGGTTTAGTTGTAGTTTGCATTTTTTATAAAAGAAAATATAGACAAATACTAATAGATATTGGGGCATTGTTTCTATCTCATGAGAATTTTTATTTCATTACCATAAGCCTTTGCTGATTTTATAAGCATTTTTTATGACATTAATCTTAACCTTGAAAGAAATGAAAAGCAGAAAAGGTGAGCCAGCTGTTGATTTGAATGCAGTGGATGTTAGGAATGGTAGAAAAGATGGTTAGATAGAAATTGAACTAATTTAGCACTTAAGCAAAAATTAGGTGAGCTTTTTAAAACAAAAAAATCTTAGTATGGTGGTACTTAGAATTCTGTGGTTTGGTGTTCCGTAAGTGAGTATAGTTTTTTTAATTGATAAAAATTGTTTTAATACGAAAGCTGGTTATTTTTTTATTGATCATTTATTAGCATTTTAAAATGTTCTTAATATCTTGATAGTTAATGCATAAAAATGAGTTAATGAGTTTGGGTAGGAGTTACAGTACCTTCAGAAAGCAAGAGAATATTAAAAGGTTTTAACATTTCATTTGCTTGAATATTCTGCCAACAGAACCAGTTATACATAAAAGTTAAGCTGTTTAAAATAATGACGTTGAGTTTAGTAAGCAATGAGGATGTCTTATTTTTGTTTCCTGCAATTTTGCCTCATTTTAAAATGCATTTCAGTAATACTTAAGGATAAACTTTATAATCTTTGATTAGTCACTTGGCTTTTCTTACACAATATGAAGTTTTGAGGGACTTTTAAGTTGGTTCTTGAAACAGGCAAGTGCATCCCAAGGTTTTATTTTCTTCAGTAATATCCCTAAAGCAGCCTTTAAATGTATTTGCGAATATATATATTTTTTTCTTATGCATGCTTGATGCATTTTCGTCCTGAGAAAAGTGTTCTCTACAGAAACTACCCGTGTGTAAAAAGAAGATTGGCTTAAAATGGCTACTGTGATGGGAACAGTGTCTTAGGGAGATGCAGCTTGGACTTGAGGTAAATTGAATACTTTACGAAACGTGGTTAGAGTTTGCTTTTATGACATTGTAAACGGGCACGTGATTGCTGTATTGTGTATTCATTATGGTCTTCTTAATAAAGTAAATAAATGTACGTTAATGAATATTATAAGGAGTGAGTGCTTTGTGTCTTTGTAAATGTATACAGTGGAAAGAGCCTTTTATTTTACATTTGACCGTCACTTAAAAGTTGACTGTGAGAAAATGGGTTTTTTTTTAAACTAATTGATAAAAGAATCATTTGTTTGCACAAGTCTTTTAACATAAAAGATTTTTCTTTAATACACAATTAGCTTTTCATGGGTTTACATTGTAAAATAGTCTTCCAGAAAATTAAAATACAAAACAACTTGATATAATAAAACATGAAAGCTAATTATTTACAAAGTTATTTGATACTTACAGTTCTAAATTGAAAGCTGTGCCACTTTTTCCTAATCCTCATAAATCTTGAAACTTCTACTTCTACAGAATATTTTTTCCTTCATAAACTTGATACAAAGTTTTCTCACTAAAATACAATTTATTCAGGCAGGATCACAACATAAATTTGCTTATAAGTTAAATATTCAGAACACAATGGTTTCTATAAGGTTTTGTTTAGCAAAACTACATGAATTTTTTGGTTTTCTTCATGCTTCTCCTTTCTCATGAATCAAGAATGATATTCCTTGGTTCAAAAACTTTGAAACTACAGCAATCAAATTTATGTAGTACTAAGGGAAAAAGGTCCTACTTACTGATCGGTTTCAGCTTCTGTGCCAGCTAACTGCAGACTAATTTAGATGTAAAAGCTCGTAAATGACGGTTGTGTCATGCAAAATAATGATGTTCAGCTATGAGCTTATGGGAAGTACATATACAGCTTCTTCATGTTCTAAAAAATTCTGAATACATTTCCCAATTCCCAATTAATTGTCTGCTGCTGCATACCGTGGTAATAGCTATGATGACTCATTCAGAAAAGAGATTCTTTGGATGAGTTTTGTGTTTTGAAGACTTTAGGGAAAGGAATTATGAAGTCAACATAGTGGCACTTCTGTTTTCCTTTTTTGGCCCCGCCACAGAAAAGATGGATGTAGTAAGAAAGTTGGAGAGAGAATTTCCAAGGGGAGAAGGAAGCCTAGTAGTCGTCAGCTAAAAAAGAGAAGAAGAAGAATGATTTTTTTCCCTCTCTAAGGATAAAAAAATTTCAGTACAATAAAAAGTTAAAAGCCGGATTAATTCTTACTTTCAATGGTAAGAATACAGGTACTAGCTGCTGAGCCTTTACTGTTGACTGCTTTACACATATACTCCCCTCCATCTTCTGGGAAAGTTTCTGGTAAGTAAAGGCAGTAAGTTTCTCCTCTTTCAATGTATTGATAATCTTCTCCATCTTGAAGTATTTCTCCTTCAAACCACCATGTAATTTCTGGCTTGGGTTCTCCAGTTACTTTAACAGTAAATCTGACTGGCTCGCTGTCTACAACTGACGTGTTTTTGAGTGACTTTTTAAACCATGGAGCTCCCGATCTTGTTTGCTCTTCATCTTCAGTAGTGGAGCCATTCAGGATGCTGCTTTCTTCTTCTTCATCCTCTCTGTTCTGTAGTAAAATAAGTGCGTTCAGTTTGACATTTGTAAATTTGCAATGATTCCACAACAGTACTTGGTAGTAATGGAATTTTTAGGGTAAAGGTACAGAACATACACTTATAGAGTACTTGATGAAACATACTAGTGATTAAGGACCTATTAAAATATCCCTCATAAATTTGGGTTTTAAGAGCATCCTTAGTAAGCCTGGTATACCTTTTGTAGTGCTGCGTCAATTTCTTTTTGTTCAAACTGCATTCGTAATAATTTTTGTTGTTCTATTCTTCTTTGCTCTTCCTCTTCTCTTGCCTTAGCCATTTGTTCAAATCTAGCTTTCATATTCACTTTATGAGTAAATGGAGCCTCACTTCTTTTTGCAGGCTTTACATCAACATCTTCTTCCTTCAGGAAAGTGGGCCAAGAAAGTAACAGTTGCTTGCTTTCTAAAAACCAAGACCTAAATAAAGTTTTAATAGTCATGTGGTTTATAGGAGCAAAGTATATTTGGTATGCACATTCATACCATAACATAGTGTAAGCATGTCAATGGCAGAAAAACTGAAGATAACTATATGGAGACTAAACATGAAGTTGTTGGTAGTTTAAATTGAAGCCACAGTGTGAGTGTAAGAACAGGCCAATTAATGGTGGCAACAGATGAGGTGAACAATTTTATAAGACTTCTAAAGTACTATGATTTCTAAACCACTTAAATAAGGGTTAGTCTGTGGAAAAAAAAAACTTCAAAGCACTGTAAGGAAATTGCTTCAGGGTAGCATCTCCAATTAAATATAAGAAGTTGATAATCTTGATTTACGGAATATAACAGTGAGGTGCTGCACCTTCTAATGAAGTAGAAGGTAAAAGTTGGAAAATTTGGGGGTGGTTTACCAAATTAAATATTTAGGAAAATCCTAAAAGCACAAAAATTAAGATAAAATGGAGTAAACAGACTAACCTATCACCTGAAAGTAATTGACATATACAACAAAGGTTTTTCTGATATATAAGAACTAGCTTTGGTATCAAACTAATTCAACCTCTGAATCTAATAACTTGTCGATTTTAGCATAAACATTTAAGAAAAAATTTACCACTGTCCATTTAGCTCTCAAACCTGCTTTTAGGAAATGGGAATCTTGAATAGGTAACAAAAAAACACCCAGTGTTTTCTTTACCATCTTTCTGAGCCCCTGAAAGCCAGTCAAAACTACCAAAGGAGTTGTGTTGAGTGAATATTGTTTGGTACATTAAAAGGCACTGGAATACTAATGATGGTAGACGGTGTATCTTGAAATGTGAAATTTTTAATTCTGAATATAATTTTAGCTATTTTATAGTCACAGTTAACACAAAGCTTGTCTAGCCTATATTTCAGACATTTATCCAAAACAATTTGTGGTAAGCATCTGCTTTCCCTAGTAATGTTGGTGTGATATTCAGTGCCTAAGTTATCACCTGCTCAAAAGCAACCTTTTACCCATTGAGTTGAAGTTAGATCTGCTATTTTACTCTCAGCTCCTCCTTGGTGGCTGTTTAGTAGTTTATCCAAGTTAAACCAATAGTCATTGAAACACTAAAGTAGGAAGGACCTAAGTCTTATTTGTCTCCTGCATTTGTCTGCTGCTCAAAGATCATGACATCAGAATTACACTGATTTATTGCTGTGACCTTCAGCAGATCATATGGGCTTTATAAGTGTCATATAAAGGAATAGTGGAACATGCCTTTTGTACTAAAGTCATTTTGAAACTGGGAAGTCTCAAAAGCTCTTAAAACCTTCATGTTCTGTGTAGTTTCCATATCATACACACCAAGGGCTAGTTTTAAAGTACTGAAAGTTGAGTCAATGTTATTCCAGTTGAATTGTTACTATGCCATAGTTAGGTTAAGTGTAAAAAAATAATATACCTCGTGGAAGTTTTCTGCTTCTCGCTCCTTAATTTCAAGGTCAATTGCTCTCCTCCTTGCTCTTTCTTCTTCTATCTTTCTCTGTATTTCTTTTTCCGATAGCTGTCCAATTTTTTCAAACTTGCTCTTTAGATTTTTAGCTTGAATAGAACCACTCCTTTTTAATTTAATTAGTTCTTCATACTCTTTGCTCAGTCCGAAAGTTTCATTTTCCTCCTCTTCCTTCAAAATTAAATTTTTTAAATGCTGAATGTCAACAAATTACAGTAAACCTGCTTATTCATGGATGAAATGTTCCAAAACACCCAAAGACATTTCTAAGTCATGTAGTGGAAGTTCCTCCCTACCCCACCACCCACCCCCATATTTTTCTTTCAGTATTGCTGTGGGGAAGTGAAAGTCCATGAGACATCTCCAATTGACCACCAAAAAATTGGAAGTGGTAGAATAATATAGTTGAGTCTTTAAAAAAAAAAAATCTTGAGCTGAAGAGCACAGGGACAGCGCCCAAGCCCCCAGAGTTAAAGCTCCACGACCAACCAAAAAAAATCTCAGAGACAGGGCCTGTGCTTCCCCCCCCCCTTAATTATTTTATTTTTTTTACTTAAAGCTCATTACAGTTTCTTTGGCATATCCAAATGGTCAGCATCACTACTATGGTTCATTGGGCCCATTAGTAAATAAAAATTGCATTGCTTGACAATCACTCTCGTGACACTTCAATAACAGAATAAGTACTACGTGACTAATGAGCAGATAGTGTAAAGAGATGGCTGCTTTCAAATGAGAACACTGGGAATATCGGACCTTCATTTAATACGGATATTTTCTCAAGTATAGCTAAACTTTCCTATTCCATTAGACTTACTAAAACTAAATTTGACATGGCAAGATTAATTTTTACTAGGGTATTCTGCAGGAAATTGTTGATATGGAAAAGTAAAGCAAATTGGGCATTGGTGCTGTGTAGTCTGCCTAGTTGTTTAGATGTGACTTTCTTCATCTTTAAATAGAGCCCAATTATCTCCAAAATTTATCCTAACTTTGATTTTATAGTGGTTATAAGGTTAGATACCATTCATTGCTCTAGTAAATATATTTCATCAGTGATGAAAGGGAGCCAGTCAAAATTGAACCTTTTTTTGCAGTAAGGGGGGGGTGGGTCGGTCATGGGGCTTGAACTCTGGACCTGAGTACTGTCCCACAACTCAAGGCTAGCACCCTACCACTTGAGCCATAGCATCACTTCTGGGTTTGGGGTCGTTTATTGGAGATTAGAGCCTCACAGACTTTACTGCCTGGGTTGGCTTTGAGCCATGATCCTCAGATCTCAGCCTCCTGGGTAGCTAGGATTACAGGCATGAGACACCAGCACCTGGCTCCAATTCTATTTCTCATTCAGATTTGTTTCCCCAGACTTTACATCACCTCTTTCCCCAGCACCTGCCAGGCAGGCAGGTCTTAAGCTGTTCTTCCAAGGTCTACTTATTAGGCTTTTATATGCTATAGTAAACCCTAATCCTGTAATATAAAGCGATACATATCTCAGGCAGGGTGCTGCATTGCTTGGAAACCTCCAGACATCGTAGAGTATTTCCTAGCATGAAATGTCTTAACAGTTAAACACTATTATATATTCACTATACAGCTCAATAATATGAACATTGAACTTTATAAGTGGGTGGGGCCTGGAAGAAGAGGCTAGACCTTGTAATCATCTCCTCTAGTATATTCATCCTATGTATTCATTCATATATTTGTATTCTCATAACCAGCTAGACAATTTGCTTAGCCACAACCAGGACAAAGAAGTAAAACACCCTACAGCCTACTGCCCCAACATATGACAGCTTCCAAGAGACTACAACCCCTATGTAGAGATTAGGTTCATGGGTCAAGATTCATACATAGTCGGCCCAGAAAGTCATCTGCCAAACATGCCATGGTACTGCCAGTTTAAGGCTGGAACAGTTATTTTCCCATGTTATGAAGCTAGGTGCAGGACCCTGACCCTATTCCTGTGTACAATCTGGAACTAGCCAAGATGCCAATCAGTAATCAAGTGTTTCCCCTTCGTTGCTACCCATGAAATTGGGCCACCCAGACAAGAAAGATGCTACATGGGACCTTTAGTAGAGTCTTAGAATGCTGAGATCCCATTCGATTCTGGAGAAGATGTGGCTCAGCTAAGGATCCGTTGCCCTAGCCTTCCATCATACATCCAGCTTCTACTGAGGACATAACGGGTAGGATGCAGATGTTCACCTAAGAGCATCAGAATGCATCTTGCAGGATCCTTTTGATCAGAGTCCAGTGAATGACCAAATTGCTTGCTTTATGTAGTCAGAGCATGTATATTTGTTTTAACTAAGATACTTTAATATCAAAATTCCATCTTAGAATCAGTAAAATAAAATTCAAATTTTGCTCATGAGGCTAGCAGGTATGGCTCAGTAGGTTAGCATGTGCTTAGTATGCATGAGGCCCAGTGCCAAAATAAAGCCCCAAAGAACCAATTAAGCACCTTTCCAACCTTACAATATATTCTCATCCATGGTATTCCTGCAGTTACATTTTGATTATCAGTGTGGATGTGGTAGTTCATTCCTGAATCAGAGCTACTTGGGAGGCAGAGAGGAGGATCCAGAGTTTGAGGCCAGCTTAGCATAAGTAATGAATGCCTGTCTCAATAAAAACCAAAAGATGGGGCTGGGAAGGTGGCTCAGTGGTAGAGTGCTTGCCTTGCATGCATGAGGCCCTGGGTTTGATTCCTCAGTACCCCATAAGCAAAAAGAAAAAAGCCGGAAGTGGCGCCTGGGGCTCAAGTGGTAGAGCGCTAGCCTTGAGCTGAAGAGACGAGGGACAGCGCCCAGGCCCAGAGTTGAGGTCCCACAACCGGACCCAAAAACAAACAAAAAGGCTAGGGGTGGTGTTCAAGTGGTTGAGCATTCACTTTGTTCAATATCCTAGTCCAGCCCCCAGTTCTAGAAAATAATATAAATGGGCAGATTAGGTACAGTACTCAGAACAAGAGTTTACAATCACTCTTGTTAATTGTTAATAAATCCAAAGAAATTTGAGGTGTCTAGGAAAATATTTGAGAATTAAACTAATATGCCAGTCACTTGCAAACCTATGTACAATTTTGAAACTAACAAGGAAGGAGTAAAGTTTGGTATGAAGTACACATATCTGTGCAGAGGCCTGCACTAAGTAGTTGTCTCTCACAAAAGTAGGTTGAGTAGCTTTTATGTGAGTAGTACTACTTATGAAGTTACTCTAAAGAAATGTAAGTAAAATACTTAAGTATTTATGGTTAATAAATGGGTATGTCTTCAAATCTTACCTCTCCCATTTCTTGTCTCAGCTGTTCAAATTCCTGTTTCTCTATTTCTAGTTTATGCTTCCGTTCCTCCTCTGTGCGTCGTCTTTCTTCTTCCATTTTTTGTTTTAATAATTCTTCAAAATTAATTTCCAGTTTCCCCGGTGTAAGTGATTCTTGAGAAATGGTTTGATACAACTCTGGGAAGTCATCATCTACTACCTATTAAGTGATAACAGTCCTATAATCGTTTTTGGCCAGGATTTATACGAATTAAAAAGGGAATCTTTCGTGTAATAACTGAGAATACATAAATAGAAAGGTTTCAGGTCACTTTAGAGTAAGATAATTGTAATTAAATGACTCATTTAATACACACTGGATAGGATTTAAATTTAAAGAATAACAGACTGAAGGAGAAGCGTCTTAGAAAGGAGAGAAGAGAAAGGAGGGGGGGAAAGTGGGGAAAGAATTGCCTGCCTTCCCACAGAAGACAATCCTCAAGGTTGTATGCCAGACATGCCAATTTACTGAGAATCTCCTATACATGAAACATAGTTTCATGGTGTTACTCATGGGATACTTTAAAACCTATTTGCAGCTGGGCTGGGGTGGCTCACACCTGTAATCCTTGCTACTCAGGAAGCTGAGTCTTACCATGCTTCTCCGTGCTTCAGCAAATGCCTTCTTTTCTTCCTCTATCCTCCTCCTGGCTTCTTCTTCTGCTTTTCTTTTTTCATCTTCTCTCCTTTGCCTTTCTAGTTCCTCAAAACTAAGTTTGAGTTTGCCAGGGCGGTACTCTTTAAAAATATTTCCTGTGTCTTGGTTTTCCTCCTCTTCATTTACCTTATTGGTCAGAAAAACAATTGAGTAGTAAAACTTGGGATTCATTAAAATAGGCACAGACTAGCTAGCCACCTCATAAAATCCAAATCCTCTTCCTTTTAGATGTCTCATGTTATAAATACCTCAATTGGGGTAAGTTCCAAATAAAGATGTACTCAAATAAAACTTCTCAGTACAGTTTTCAAATAAATAAGGTAGCATATTTTTAAAATGCTATTTGCCATACTGAACAATAAGTCTTCCAGTACAAACTGTGTGTACTTAAATTAGGCTTAAGTATATTAAGTATATTTAGAGTCCTTTCATGGATTTTTTAAGCTATAAGCTGTGGTACTTTCTCTTAACTAAATAAAAGATCATCTACAACTATTTTATATAAAATTCAAGCTTCATGATTCATTGTTAATTCAAATATTAATTGAAATGTATTATTTAATTAACAATATTAAGCTGACCACACATAATATATAAAATACATAGTATTCATTTATTTACCAAAATTAATATTTTAAATAGATGTTTAGAAATTAAAATTCTGTGATATATAATCTTTTTTTTGGGGGGGGGTCTGGTTGTGGGGCCTGAACTCTGGGCCTGGGTGTTGTCCCTCAGCTCTTCAGCTCAAGGCTAGCGCTCTACCACTTAAGCCACAGCACCACTTCCGGCTTTTTTCTTTTTGCTTATGTGGTGCTAAGGGGTCGAACCCAGAGCCTCGTGCATGCAAGGCAAGCACTCTACCACTGAGCCACCTTCCCAGCCGGATATATAATCTTTATAATATCATTAATGAGATCTAACCAATAAAATTGTGATGATTTGTAAAAGACACGTCCCATTTTCTAAATTCATTTTAAACTCAAGGCCTTGTGTTTGCTCAGTTGGCTGGCACTCCTTTATCACTTGACCTATATCTCCAACTTTGCATTTTGCTCATTATTTTGGAAATGTAGTCTGGCAGATTTTCTGCCAGGCTTGCTTTGATCCTTGATTCTCCATATCTCAGTCCTCCTGAGTGGTTAGGATTACAAGTACAAACCACCAACTCGTGATTTTCATTTTAAAAAATATTTTTAATGTGCCAGCCCTAGGGCTTGACCTCAGGGGTTGGACACTGCCTTTAGGCTTTTTTGCTCTCAAGATTAGCTTACCACTTAAGCCACAGTTCCACTTCCAGCTTTTTCTTGGTTAATTGGAGATAAGAGTCTCATGGACTGCTCAGGCTGGCTTTAAACCACAGTCCTCAGATCTGAGTCTCCTAAGTAGCTAGGATTATAGGTGTGAGCCACCAACACCTAGCTTTATTGATAATTTTTAATACTATAATAATGGTTAACACTCATAGAGCATGCACCCACACATACATACACCAAATGATATTTTAACTGCTTTAATATTTTCAAATTGCTCAGTGCCAATGGCTCACACCTGTAATCCTTAGTTACTCAGGAGGCAGAGATGGAGGTTTGAAGCTCATGCAGTGAAGTCTAAGGCACTCTTTCCTTCAATTAACCACTAGGAAAAGCCAGAAATGGAGTTGGCAAAAAAGCTAAAGGATGGTGCCCAGGCTGTGAGTTCAAATCCTAGTATCAGCATACATACACTAATAATAATATGCTCAAATATTTGAAAAACTGCACTGATGTCAATGTATACCAAAAAGACTTTTAAAATGCCCTTTAAGGGGCTGGGAATGTGGCTTAGTGGTAGAGTGCTTGCTTAGTATGCATGAAGCCCTGGGTTTGATTCCTCAGTATCACATAAGCAGAAAAAGCCAGAAGTGGCACTGTGGCTCAAGTGGCAGAGTGCTAGCCTTCAGCAAAAGAAGTTCAGGGATAGTTTCTAGGCCCTGAGTTCAAGCCCCAGGACTGGCAAAAAATAAAATAAAAGCCTTTCAATGATGCCATTAAGTGCATTGTTGTCATTGTTGAACTAATAGATGAAGAGAAAAAGAGGTTTGTTGCATAACTATTTTTGCATCTATCCATATTAATGACAAAAATGTAAACCTTATTCTATAAAACCGTTCTACATAGGAAATTTCAAAAATTTCTTTTGGGGGGCATGGGTCAGAGCGCTTGAACTCAGGGTCTGACACTGTCTCTGAGGCACTTTTGCTCAAAGCTAACACTACCACTTAGAGCCACAGCTCCACTACAAGTCTTTGAGTAGGACATAAAAGAGTCTCACAGACTTTTCTGCCTGGGCTGGCTTCAAACTGCAATCCTCAAATCTCAGCCTCCTGAGTAGCTAGGATTACAGGCATTATCCACAGGCTCCTGGCCTTTAACAAACCATATCCACTACTAGCTATCATTCTTACTATAAAATACAATGTTTAAAGCTAGACATATATACCATTTGCCTCCTTGCTTCTTCAAAAGCACGCCTCTCGGCTTCTAAACGTTGTCTTGCTTCCTCTTCAGCTTGCTTCTTTCGGTTTTCTTGTCTTTGTCGCTCCAATTCTTCAAAAGTTAGTTTCAGTTTTCCAGGAAAATGTGTTTCCTTTTTGGCTTCATTTTCCAGTTCATCATCCTAAGCAAAAATGACGAAAGCAAACCTCTTCGTTTTAAAGGAAATCGCTTAACATGCTACTAAATTAGTTAGGTTGATTCTTTAAAACCAAAAAACGATTACCATGACCAATGAAAGACACTTTGCCTCCTTGAGAGTGCGCTGTTGCTGTTCACATTTTACTCCTTGTTCTTTCTCTACATCCTCAAAATTCTTCTTTATTTTTCCAGATGTTTTATATGATTTGACAGGCACTACTGTTATAAGCAGTGAATCATCTCCTTCCTATTTATAAGACAGATAATTAGTCTACATCTTCTTGGCTGTGCTCTGATGGTTCTCACTTGTCATCCTAACATTCAGGAGGCAAGATGTGAGAATCACAGTTCAAAGCCACACTGGGTAGGAAAGTCCATGAAACACTTATCGCTAATTAACCACCAAAAAGACAGAAACAGGGGCTTAACTCAAGTAATAAATAGCATAAGCTTTGAGCCAAAAATCTCAGACAGTACCCAGGTCCTGAGCTCGAGCACCAGGTCTAGCACACACACACACACACCACCACCACCACCACCACTACCAACAACAACAAAAGAAAAAGAAGGAAAAAAACCCAGTATATATCTTCTTAATAAAAATTTTAGGTCTTAAAGAACTTTACCTCCATAATTGGTGAGTTTCATTACATTGCTGACAATGATTTTATGAAAAACAAAACATTATTACTAATTACATATCTCTAAAGTTTGCTGTTAATTTAATAAATTCAATAAAAGTAGTTAATTTCACTGAAGTCCAATGTTGACAAAGTTCAAGAAGCATTCTGTTTCTGGGATGATGAAATCTTTATATCCCTGCTCAGATAAAAAAAAAAACTGTGGCAACCATTGTGTGAATTTAGCTCTCTATGCACAATAGGTAATGTATATGTGAGTGTACTCCAAATCAATCTGATGGTGGATTCTTAAACATAAAATCAATGTTTCTTCATATGATCTTTTTCCCCCACAGAAGTTTATAAACAATACAACTAGCATTTAATAAGAAAAACCAAATAATATCCAAGCAATTAATTCAACATTTATAGTACAGATAAAATATTTAAGATGTATTTTGATTAATTTCATGAGTTATACAATATAATCTTTTGTTGCCTCTTAACTTTTTTTTCAAAATAAAAAGAATTATAAAGCATAACCCATTCCTCCCCTTCAAAAATTCCAGTTTATGTGGCTCTATAAGTTTTAAGCACACCATCAAATTGTTTGATTTTTAAATTGGTTAGGTAAGATGGGTTGAGTAGCATTTCCTCATGTTAATACACACTGCATTCAACACTGGTGTGTGAAAACACAAACTCTCAGGAACGCTGAAGAAAGAAGACAGATGGCAAAACAGAAGCTGCCACTTACAAATGTTAGTTTTCAATGGTCTCAATTATTAGTTCAAGAAATAAGAGGTGGTCTTGGGAGAGTATCTCAAACTGAGAACTAAAAGATACTTGTATGGAAGCAAAAACATACTTTTCCTTAAAACACTAAGCCATAGTGTTTGAAAGTGCAGAAGTATGATTTTGCTTTCGCAAAAGAGTTCTTGCTATCTTTATAATAAGACAGTGAAATAAAATCCCTTTTAATTTTTCTCAGAATAGAAGATGATTTGTGAATCAGATCATTTTAGGTGAATATTTCATTAAAGGAAATATCAGTTTACCTCTGGTGCTGATTCAGTTTCCGTATTGTTTATGTCCTCAATCTATTGAATGAGAATTTCATGTCATTACATTACATTGGATTTCTGCTTGTTCCTTTTAAACATACAACTGAAAGAAACTGAGTGTGACTTCTAGTAAATTTTCAAATATATGTTTTGAAATATTTTCTATTGTTCCAAATAAGCTAAATGTCCTCACAAATGGAGATTTAGCCTTACTGGTTTTTGCATTTTGATACCAACATCAATATCCAGTGGACAGCATTTTCAGAAAAAATTTCCTTTGTAAATTTGCATATTGAATAATGGATCAAATACTTTTGACTTGGCTATTCCTTTACAATAAGCAATTATTTTAATTAGCCACTTGAATTAAAATACATAGAAATATTTCTCTATTCTGTGTCCCACCCAAGAAAAGGGAAACATCATTACCAGTCAAATAATTTTCATGATTTCATTTTACAACATGAGTATATGATAAAAAGAACATAAATCTGGTAAAACACATAGGCTAATTTAGAAGGAAAATTTATTTTGGAAACCTTGGTTTTCTTCATATTTTGACCAACTCTGTGTTGAAAAGGTCCTATAATCCCAACTACTCAGGAGACAGAGATTGGGAAGATTGATGATTAAGGACAACTCAGGAAAAAATTAGCAAGACCTCATCTCAACCAATGAGCTGAATTTGGTGTTCCCAGATATGCAGAAAGCATAGGTAAGAGGATTACAGTTCCAAGCATGCCCCTGAACTTAAAAAAGAAAAAAGGGCTGGAGGCCGGGCTCAGAATGCTTGCCCTAACAAGGGCAAGTCTGAAAGTTACTGGGGTAATACCAAAACAAAACAAAAATAGCCAGAGCTCAATTTGGCCATTATTGTTATTAGATTTGCATAAAGAATACTTGGCAAACTGAAAATGGACAAAAGACTGGTGATTTGAATAATGAAGGAAACATATCTGAGGAAAGTAACAGCCATTAGAAAGTAAAAATTCAGAGCTGTAATTCTAGCTACTGAGGAGGATGAGATACAAAGAATCATGATTTGAAGCTAGCTAAGCAAAGAAAGAAAAAATCCTTGAGATTCGATCTCAAAATAACCAGGAAAAAAAAAATAATGAGTCAAACTGAGCTGGAGATGTAGCAGTGTTAGCTCTCAAGGCAATTGATCCCATAGGCTCTGAGTTCAAACCTTGAGTGGGGGTTGGGGGGAGTAAAACTTCAGGACTGGTGGTGTAACTGGGTGACAAAGCAATGACCTTGCCCAACACTACTAGAAAGAAAAATAAATCAGGAGGGGGTTGGGAGGTGGGGAGATGGGAGGGCAGGGATAGTAAGGGCAAACAAAGGGGGAGGCAACAGTGCTTGATAAGAACTGTACCATTACCTTGCTCATGTAATTGTAACCCCTCTGTACGGTATTTTCACAATAAAAAACATTAATAATAAAAATTCAGATTATTGTTTTAATTTTATTTGTTAAATCAGCGCAAGTTTGCAAGTAGTTAACAAACTACTCATGCAACTAAACAGAACTTGGATACACTCTGGCTCATATTAGAAACTGGGTAAGCGTCTCACCTAACTTTTTTTCTCTATTTGACAATAAAGAAATAATACATTTTTACTCAGACACCCAATTGCCTGAAAATTAAAATTATTCTAAAAAATAGTTTATGATTAAAAGTCTACTTGGATGTTGGAACATTTATTTTTAGTAATTCCAATTATTTTAAAATAATTTTATTCAGAATAATTTGTACACTAGAAAATTATTCAGAATACTTCATCGCAGAAGTTCTTGTTACACTGATTTGCTATGTAAATTGTAAAGGCTTTGTTGAATTCTGCCTCATGGTAAGAGCAATTTTAACAGATCTATAATAAAACAATTACAAAATAATTTATCTTCAAAGCAATATGGCAACCTCTTAATTTACATTAATTTCTCAACAAGAAGTTCCAGAAAATATGGTGAGAAACAAGATAACAGGAGTATAGGAAAGAGAAACACTAAATCTTCATTCCAGTTTTCTTTATCGTGTTATTACAACCTTTCCAGATTTTTGCAGTTTCGGGTAAAATGATAAAATATATTTGGAGGTGCTTTGGGTTTGGAATTTTGTTTTTCTGTTCTTGTTTTCTGTTTTTTGCCTTGCTCATTGTAAATTATTGCCAAAATAGCTGGACTACTGTCTCACACCTATAATTCTAAGTACCTGAGAGGCTGAAACACAAAGTGTCTCAATTCAAAGTCAGCCTAGGCAGAAAAATCTGAGAGACTCCAGTTCTAATTAATCAGCAACAAAGCTGAGCTGGAGCAGCCCAGTGGTAGAGTGCCACCGTGAACAAGAAAACTGCATGAGAACACAAGACCCCAGTACTGGCAAGATAACAAAAAATAAAATTATATTTTGTTTTTCAACAAATGCTGAGAAAGAATAATTTGTGGGCTGGGAAGGTGGCTCAGCGGTACAGTGCATGCCTTGCATGCATGAGGCCCTGGGTTCGATTCCTCAGCACCACATAAACAGAAAAAGCCGGAAGTGGCACTTGTGGCTCCAGTGGTAGAGCGCTCGCCTTGAGCTGAAGAGCTGAGGGACAGTGCCCAGACCCAGAGTTCAGGCACCATGACCGGCAACAAAAAACAAAAAAAGAATAATTTGTGCAAAGGATCCTGAGACCCTTTGGATCAATATATTCACAGAGAAACAGGTGATCAGATGTTCAAGTATAGTATAGACTTTCAGAATCTCCTACTATGGAGTTGCTTCCCAACTATTTTTTTTCCAATATAGAAAACCAACTTCCTTTTTTTTCCCTTCAAAATCTCCTCCTTACAATAGTTTCTCTTTTAAATGGATGATGGATGATTTTTAATTTTGCTTGTCAGAGTATCCTTAAACATAGCCAGATAATAGCACATCAATCTTTTTTCTCAAAATTTTGTTGATCTTTAATTTTAACATCTAATACACCAAATATACCCACTTGTAATTCATGGTAACAGCTTAGAATTTTATTTTATTTTTTTCCAGGGCTAAGGACCAAACCCAGGGCCTGGCACGTGCCAGGCGGGCGCCCTTCTGCTGAGCTAAACCCCCAGCCCCACAACTTAGAATTTTAGAACTGATAATTATCTTGGTGGTCACTACCCTCACTCCAACTGAGGAAATCTTTACCTATCATTCTTTTTTTTTTTTGGTCGGTCATGGGGCCTGAACTCTGGGCCTGGGCGCTGTCCCTCAGCTCTTCAGCTCAAGGCGAGCGCTCTACCACTTGAGCTACAGCACCACTTCCGTTTTTCTGGTGGTTTATTGGAGATTGGAGATAGGAGTCTCACAGTCTCTGCTGCCCGGGCTGGCTTTGAACCGCGATCCTCAGATCTCAGCCTCCTGAATTGCTAGGATTACAGGCATGAGCCATCAGCGCCCGGCTTTACCTATCATTCTTATAGATGAGTTTGTATAAGTGGACTTAAACATTAAGACTCTTCTTGAGGGGCTGGGAAGGTGGCTCAGTGGTAGAGCGCTTGCCTTGCATGCATGAGGCCCTGGGTTCAATTCCTCAGCACCACATAAGCAAAAAGAAAAAAGCTGGAAGTGGCGCTGTCAGGTGGTAGAGTGCTAGCCTTGAGCTGAAGAGCTGAGGGACAGCGCCCAGGCCCAGAGTTCAGGCCCCACAACTGGACCAAAAAAAAAAAAAATTAAAAGCCTAGCCGGGTGTCAGTGGCTCACATCTGTAATCCTAGCTACTCAGGAGGCTTGGAGCTGAGAGTCATGGTTCAAAGCAAGAAAATCCATGGGACTCTTATCTCCAATTAACCACCAGAAAACCAGAAGTGACGTAGCTCAAGTGGTAGAGTGCTCAAGTGGTAGAGTGCTCAAGTGGTAGAGTGCTCAAGTGGTAGAGTGCTCAAGTGGTAGAGTGCTTTCCTTGAGCTAAAGAGCTGAGGGACAGTGCCCAGGCCCAGAGTTCAAGCCCCACGAACAACAACAACAACAAAGTATTACAGTTAAAATGCCAGCATTTTGTTTAGCACTTATACATAGTTATTGTGTAACATCTTTGTAAAATCCTCAAATAGGTTAAGAAAATAATAAATGTGGACAGAATAAGAATGATGTAACAAAAGTCACCTCAGTATTTTGTTCTAAAATAAGTACATTCTGCCTGATGCTTCTGGATATCTGATACTTCATATTTTCTCTTAGGAGTTGAGATTGTTTTCAGGTTAGCTATAATTGATATATCTGTGTTAAATTAGAATATTTTAATTAGACAACATACTGATTAGTTTTTGTTTGTACAATTAGTTTCAGAAGCACTACCGACTTCATATTCAGTGGTTACCTGCTCAGCCCTTTTTGCTAATTCACGCTGTATTTTCCTCTTTTCTAACATATCCTGCTCGATTCTGCGTTTTCGCTCCTCCTCCGTTCTCTTCCTTTCTTCCTCTTGTCTTTGCTTCTCCATTTCAGCAAATTTACCTTTAACAGTGCCTAAGAATACATTTAAGAAAAAATTTGATACTTTACAATGTTCTTTTCTTTTTACAATTTCATCTATAATTTGCCCCTCCTGTTTCTTACCTGTTAGCTTTGGGACATAAGCCTTTTCTGATTTAGAAGAAACCTCCTCCTCATCATCAGAAGCAAGCAATTCTTTAATCTAGACAGTTAAATAATTTGATGTGAATGCATGTCCCAAAATTGAACTCAGTTATATTTCATAGGTCCCCTTAATCTACAGACCACAAAAGGACCCTCTGTTTAGTACTTTTCCTATCTGAACTATAGGAAGGAATCACAGTTCATAGATTGCTTAGCTATGATAAAGTTTTTTGGGGTGGTTGCTTTTTTTGTCAGTTGTGGGGCTTGAACTCAGGGCCTAGGTTCTGTAGCTGAGCTTTTAGGCCCAAGGCTAGTGCTCTGCCACTTTAAGACACAGCTCTACTTCTGGTTTTCTGGTGGCTAATTGGAGATAAGAGTTTCAGGGACTTTCCTGCCTGAGCTGGCTTTGAACCACAATTCTCAGATCTCAGCCTTCTGAGTAGCTAGGATTATAAGCGTGAGCCACTGGTACCTGGCCCTATGATAAAGTTTAAGTTAGAAGTTAGGCATGGACAAAAGACCAACAACAATAATTATAAAATGAGGCAAAACAATTCAACTTAATACTTCTAAACCTACAGGTAATGAAACAGTGGACAGTAAAACTGAAAAGAGAAGACTTTTGTCTATGCAGCATTCAAATTAGCTTAACAGGTATTTAGGTATAGTTTACATAAAATGTTACTGTGAATAGCAAATTAAATGACAAAGATGAAAACAAACATATACAAAAGAATAAAATAAAATATAATAACCTCCTGCTTTCTCCTGTTCCATTCTCTCTCTCTAATATACTGTTCTTTTCTTCTTTGCTTTTCGTCTCTAGATCGCCTTTGATTTCTTTCTTCCCTGGCTCTCTGCATGGCTTCAAACTTATCCTTTACATCACCCTTGCCAAGTTTGGGCACATACGATTTGGGGACAGGTTTAGATGAAGAAAGCAGAATCTTCAGTAGAAGAAAACAAAGAGAAGAAAGTGAAAAAAGAAAAAAGACAGGTAGAAATTAGGCAAAGATAAGAAAGAATAAGCAATACTAGAAATACTGATTGAAAGAAAATAGAAATGAATTTGAAATTTTTGACTATCACACACCAGCTAGATACTCTGTAAAATCTACATTGAAAAATGAAATTCTAGAAACCATAAGCAGAAATGAGAGCAGAAATGTTACTGATATGAAATTCTTCTTTAGAAATCTCCTTTTGTGTCTAGCAGGCCACTGAAGCTGAACATCAATAAAAGATGAGCACCAAATCCTGAAACCTAAAAAGAGCCTATGTTTTATTGTCCTGTTTCATCATTAAAGACTCAGATTTTACATCACTGCTTAAAAGTTATTCAGATGGGCTGAGAAGGTGGCTCAGTGGTAGAGCGCTTGCCTTGCATGCATGAGGCCCTGGGTTCGATTCCTCAGCACCACATAAGCAAAAAGAAAAAAGCCAGAAGTGGCGCTGTGGCTCCAGTGGTATAGCGCTAGCCTTGAGCTGAAGAGCTGAGGGACAGCACCCAGGCCCAGAGTTCGGGCCCACAACCGGACCCAAAAAAATAAAAATGTTATTCAGATTAAGCTCAGTCAATCAGATGAAGCTGAAGAAAAAATCCAAATGTTTAGACTTTGTAGTTTATAACCAAAATCACAGATTGCATTTTTGCTGTTTTTGTTATATCTAATACAAGCAAGACTGAAGGCCAGTGCTTTATTCCCATTTGTGGCTGAGGTGTGCCAGTGTCCGCAGGTGGACACTAAAAGAAAATGTTTTTGAACACAAAACTCTTAATCATAATGATAATGACAAATTATGTAGTCAATCTGTAGCACACTACATTGAATTTTTAAATCTGTATCGTTGACTAAGGGGTATGTGTGTGTCTGTGTTGGTGTCTGTGTCTGTGTGTCTGTGTATGTGCATATGTGCTGGTCCTGGGGATTGAAGTCAGGACATGGACACTCTTCTTTTGCTCAAGGTTAGCACTTTACCACTTGAGCCACAGCTCTACTTCCAGCATTTGTGCAGGTGAATTGGAGATGAGAGCCTCACAGACTTCCCTGTCCAGGCTGGCTTCAAACAACAATCTTCAGATCTCAGCCTCCTGAGTAGCCAGGATTATGGTAAGCCACTGGCACACAGTGCGTAAGTTTTGTTTAGTTTAAAAATAAAGTTTGTGATTCTAGAGTATCAGAAACTGAGCTCTTAGAATTCTCAGTACCCACTGCTAAGAACCAGAAAAATAAAAGCCACATCTTTTTGCATCTTCTGGAAGAAGGAGCTAAGAAGGATCCTTGCCTGTGTGAATTATTGCATTAATTCACCGTACAGGTAAAACTTTTTGAAAAAAATGCAGAAGATTAATTTTTTTTGGTAGGTCTTGGGACCTGGGTGCTTTCCCTTGGCTTTTTAGCTTAAGGATAGCTCTCTACCACTTGAGCCACAGTGCCACTTCCAGCTTTTTTCTGCTTATGTGGTGCTGAGGAATCAAACCCAGGGCCTCATGCATGCAAGGCAAGCACTCTACCACTGAGCCATCTTTCCAGCACTAATTTCTAAAACTTATAAACATATTTAAAATTCTCAAGATGCTACCATCATATCACATCCATTATTCACAAACTAAGTAATGTTCTCCAGTAATGATCCAAATGAAATACTGACCAAGACCAGCCATTATTTATACCTCACCTTATTTTATCTTTCAATGCTATGTTATAACCAAATCCTTAAATATGAAGCTTCTGTCAAATGACTGTTAACTTTAAACTTCTCTTTCTTCTCTCCCTCTACTCCTCCCTCTTCATCTCTTAACCTTTGACACTTACCTCAGCCTTTTGGGAAATATCATTCATGTTTGCTCTGTGTGTGTTTGAGCTGCTGAAGTGTTGGATGTTTTCGTACCTGCAAAAAATTTAATATTGTAAAATAATTTAAAGACTTTGTCTTTAATGTGTTATATATTTCTACAAGTAGAAATACGATGTTAATATCCTCTCAAATTCTTTTTTTTTGGGGGGGTCCAGTTGTGGGGCCTGAACTCTGGGTCTGGGCGCTATCCCTCAGCTCTTCAGCTTAAGGCTAGTACTCTACCACTTGAGCCACAGCGCCACTTCTGGCTTTTTTCCTTTTTGCTTATGTGGTGCTGAGGAATCAAACCCAGGGCCTCAGGCATGCAAGGCAAGCGCTCTACCACTGAGCCACCGTCCCAGCCCCTATCCTCTCAATTTCTTAAGTTATTTGTTATGATAATCTTCAATTCTTTTCTCAAGATTCAAGTTGTAGAAAATATAAGGTACAAGATATTAAAAGATCCTAGGCTGCCTGTAATCCTAGTGGTGGTTTGAGGATGATGGTTCAAAGCCAGCTTGGGAAGAATAGCCTATGAGACTCTCATCTTCAATTAACCATGAAAAAGCCAGAAGTGGGGCTGGGAAGGTGGCTCAGTGGTAGTGTTTGCCTTGCATACATGAGGCCCTGGGATCAATTCCTCAGCACCACATAAGCCGAAAAAGTCGGAAGTAGTGCTGTGGCTCAAGTGGTAGAACACTAGCCTTGAGCTGAAGAGAGCTGAAGGACAGCACCCAGGCCCAGAGTTCAGGCCCACAACCATCACCACCACCACCACCACCACCAAAAAACGTCAGAAGTGGAGCTGTGGCTCAAGTGGTAGAGTGCTAGCTTTAAGCCAAAAAAGCTCAGGGACAGTGCCCAGAGTCTGAGTTCAAGCCCCAGAGCTCTCTCTCTCTCTCTCTCTTTCTCTCTCTCTCTCTCACACACACACACACACCACACACACACACACACACACACACACATACAGATTCCAGAAAATGTATGGCCTAATATAGCTTGGTGACCATATCAAATGCACCTTAAAAAAGACTATTTATTCCATAATTATTCAATATATTATTCTATAAATTCCAAATAGTTAAGAGATTAAAATGGTTGGTCATGTTTTAGATTTTGTGTGCGTGTCTGGGCAAGTCTTAGGGCTTGGAATTAGGGCCTGAATGCTGTCCCATGGCTTTTTCACTCAAGGCTAGCATTCTATCATTTGAATCACAGTTCTACTTCTGGATTTTTTGCTAGTTAATTAGAGATGAGGCTCACAGACTTTCTTTGCCCAGGCTGGCTTTGAACTGCAATTCTCAATCTCAGCCTTCTGAGTAGCTAACATACATGATTAGAGAAGCTGTGAGCAGAGCTAGGCAGTAGAGTGCTTAGCATCCAGAAGATCTACGTTTAATTCATAGTATAAAAGAAAAAAACAAAGGAGCAAAGATAAAACCCAGAGCAAAAGGCAAGACTGAGTATTGGTTGATCAATGAGAGTTTGGCTGCAATAACGGGACAGCAAATGAATAATCAGCATTATTCACATTAAATGAAGATGTCAAAGTGGCTATCACAGTTTCAGAGGGAATATTGCAACACTGCTATAGCCTGCATACAATTCGTCAGAACAGGTGAACTGTAGTCTATATTTACAGTGTAGAATTTTTTGGAAAAGGTCTCTTGCTGTATGCCAACCATTATGTCCTTTTGAACACAAATGTAGCAGAAATTGTGCAAGGCTGAGATCTGAGGATTGAGATTTAAAGGCAGCTTAGGCAGAAAAGTCTACTTGACTCTATCTCCAATTCACCAGCAAAAAGCCAGGTTGAAAATGTGGCTTCAAAATAAAAATCTGAGGGCTGGAAAGGTGGCTCAGTGGTAGAGCGCTTGCCTTGCATGCATGAGGTCCTGGGTTTGATTCCCCCGCACCACATAAGCAAAAAGGAAGAAAGCCAGAAGTGGTGCTGTGGCTCAAGTGGTAGAGCACTAGCCTTGAGCTGAAGAGCTGAGGAACAGCACCCAGGCCCAGAGTTCAGGCCCCCCCCCAAAAAATAAAAAAAATAAAAAAATAAAATAAAAAACTGAGTAAAAGTGCAAGATCCAATACCTTCACATAGCAAGAAAGAACATGTAATACAGATTGGAGGCATGACTCTGGTGCTTTGGCCAATAAGCAAAAGCAAGCATCAGATATTAAGTTTGAGTCCTAGTCTCAGACAAAAGAAAGGAAAGAAGGAAGGAAGGAAGAAGGAAAGAAGGAGGAAGGAAGGAAGAAGGAAGGAAGGAAGAAGGAAGGAAGGAAGGAAGGAAGAAGGAAGGAAGGAAGGAAAGAAGGAAGGAAGGAAGAAAGGAAAGAAGGAAGGAAGGAAAGAAGGAAGGAAGGAAGAAAGGAAGGAAGGAAAGGAAGAAAGAAAAGAAAGAAGGAAGAAAGAAAAAAGGAAGGAAGGAAAAAGAAAAAGAAAGGAAGGAAAAAGAAGGAAGGAAGGAAAAAAGAAAATATATAACAGAATTTGAGAAATAAACCATCATTGGTGGGAGAAAAAGACAGGGATGCAGTTAATGAAAATATAAAATAGTCATTTGTAGCCAAAGAACTGGAGCAAAGCACGTGGACAAACATGAGGAGCCAAGGAGTGGCTGGGTTAAAGAAGCTTTCACAGATACCAGGACAGATGAAGAAGAAATGTGCAAAATAGAAAAGTTATATTTCTATTTAAATTTTGTATTTCATTGACGTAGCCGGGCGCTGGTGGCTCGTGCCTGTAATTCTAGCTACTCTGGAGGCTGAAATCTGAGAATCCTAGTTTGAAGCCAGCCTAGGCAGGAAACTCCATGAGACTCTTGTCTCCAATTTAATCATGAAAAAGTCAGAAGCAGGGCTGTGGCTCAAGTGGTAGAGTACTGGACTTGAGTAGAAGCAACTAAGGGACAGTACCTAAGCCCTGACTGAATTTAAGTCCCAGTATAGGTACACACAGAAAAAAAAAATCAATGTATTCCACCATATACTGTTATATACTAAATAATTAGGATTCTAGAGAATTGATTATAAAATAGTTTCAATAAAAGAAAATCAGGGGCTGAGTGCTGGTGGCCCACGCCTATAATCCTAGCTACTGAAGAGGCTGAGTTCTGATAATCGCAGTTCAAAGCCAGCCCGGGCAGGAAAGTCCGTGAGACTCTTATCTCCAATAAACCACCAGAAAACCAGAAGTGGCAGAGCACTAACCTTGAGCTGATGAGTTGAGGGACAGTGCCCAGGCCCAGACTTCAATCCCCATGACCGATGGGAAAAAAAAAAAAAAGAAAAGAAAAAAGGAAAGAAAAACAGGCTGGGAATGTGGATTAGTGGTAAAGTGCTTGCCTAGCATGCATGAAGCCCTGGGTTTGATTCCTGAGTACCACATAAGCAGAAAAAGAAGTGTCACTGCAGCTCAAGTGGTAGAGCACTAGCCTTAAGCACAGAGAGGCTCAGGGACAGAGCCCAAGCCCTGAGTTCAAGGCCCAGGACCATCCAAAAGAAAAAAAAAGGAAGGAAGGAAGGAAGGAAGGAAGGCGAGAGAGCAAGGAAGGAAAGAAAGAAAGAAAGAAAGAAAGAAAGAAAGAAAGAAAGAAAGAAAGAAAGAAAGAAAGAAAGAAAGAAAGGAAAGAAGAGAAATCAGGTAAGGGCATGCAGGCAAAAGAACCAAGAACAGAAACATTAATACCCAATGATCCACTGCAAATATGTGAAGCTATGAATTGTCCAGTGAACACATGGCAAAACTAGAAAGACATTTGGGGCATAGATAAGAAAGATTCCTGAATGCCATGGCAAGAAAAAAACTTGGACATGATACTATACTGTCAGAAAAAAAAGACTTTCAGCAAGAACATAACTCACTCAGACATGTATTCTAGAAAAGAAAGAATTCTAGAAATATGCCATGTTCAGCAGTGGAGAAAATAGTGAAAAGTAGAGAAAGGCTGGCAAGGAAGACAAGTACAATGAACTTAAAAAGAGAAGACACAAAGCCGGGCGCTGGTAGCTCACGCCTGTAATCCTAGCTACTCAGGAGGCTGAGATCTGAGAATTGAGGTTCAAAATCAGCCCAGGCAGGAAAGGCCCTGAGACTCTCATCTCGAATAAACCACTAGAAAACCAGAAGTGGTAGTGTGGCTCAAGTGGTAGAGCGCTAGCCTTGAGCTGAAGAGCTGAGGGACAGCGCCCAGGCCCAGAGTTCAAGCCTCATGACCAACAAAAACAAAACAAAACAAAACAAAAACTAGAGAAGAAATAGAAGACACAGGGCTGAATTACAGCTGTAGCATTAGGGTTAAGAAGAAAAGAATTGACAGGACATAGTGATTCATTATTAATAAATGTTTATCAAGCTCATACTATGTGCTAAGTACTATCTTCAGTGATGGGGAGATTACAGTTAACAAATAAAAAGTCCCTAAACCCAGGTGCCAGTGGCTCATGCCTGTAGTACTACTCAAGAGGCTGAGATCTGAGGATCGCAGTTCAAAGCCAGCCCAGGCAGGAAAGTCCGTGAGACTCTTATCTCCAAAAAACCATTCAGAAAACCAGAAGTAGCTCTGTGGCTCAAGTGGTAGAGCCTTGAGCTGAAGAGCTGAGGGACAGCACCCAGGCCTGGAGTTCAAGCCCCACAACCAGCAAAAAAAAAAAAAAAAAAAAAGTCCTTGAGTCCTTGAAACTTCCATTGCAGTGGACCTTCAACCAATTTGATTGGGAGGAGTAGAGGGAAAGATGAAAATCCTGTCAAGAACAAAGCCAAACTGGGTGGTAGAACAGTCCCGTCATCATAAACTACACAGAAGTCTGAGAATCGGAGCATAGTGGTTCGAGGCCAGCACTGGCAGAAAGGTTCAGGAGAGTCCTTTTCAATCAATAGTTAATTATAGTGATGAGTGCCTGTCATCCTAGATTGATGATCCCAGTCCAAGGATGTGCCCAGGCAAAAGCAGGAGCTTATATCACAAATAACCAGCACAAAAAGGGATTGAAGGCATGGCTCAGCAGCAGAGCACCTGACTAGCAAGTACTGGGCCCTGAGTTTT